CCAGGAGCTGAAGGTGTCTGTCTGTGTGGGGGTAGACAGAGAAGGCACTGATTGCCCCCAAGTTACATCACTCCAGCCTTTGATTTTAGCTGTAAATTCAGCCTAAATTTGCTGAAGTGACTGCTGATTTTCTGGCCAGGTAGCTGAAGTAGCCTGACGCTTTGGTTCAGTCCTTTCCCCCATAGTAAGAGGAAAATACAATTTACCACAGCTCAAGCTACTAATCTTTGATTTTTATCAACTTAAACTAGTGACAGACTTGAATACTAATGAGAGATCAAAATCACAGCATGCAGAGTTATCAGTATTCCAGCTTACCTGATGACTGAATTAAGAGGAGACGGGCAATTAAAGAGCTACTGTATAAAATAACAGCCCCCCGAAAAGAAAGCAGGAACTAAGAATGAGCTGTGTCCCAGGATGTTTGTACAGACAAAACTCACACCCCAGAGGGCAAAAAATGTGGCCTGGCTCTCAGGATCTGCACTTGATCGTGTTGCAGGAAGTGGAGGAAACTCTGTTACATGGAATGATCAAAATTTAGAGCGTCTGTATTGTTATTCTCAAGAATTATTATTCCCCACTTGCCAAAGAAATGGCTGTTTAATCTGTCTTTCTGGACATCTATCTTCTTACTGTGAATAGCTACAAGTTGCCAGGAGTCAGAGAGGGAGAAACCATTAACTTCCATCATAATCGAGCACACATTAAAATGATTAAGGTCCAAAAAGTAAAGAAGGGTCAGCATTCTTTCATAAAGATTTTGTTGCAAGAGCTGTTTTCTTAACTTTATTATTAGAAGATCTGATACTTTGGAAGGACAAGGCATGGCTTATTAACAGGCAACGGCACAAAGTAATTTTAATGATTGTTTCGAGCGTTTTCTGAAGGAGAGAAAACATTTTCATTTCAAGCTGGTGTGTGTTACCACTGCAGTCTCTAGAGCATCCAACACAGACCCTGTGCTTGAAACAGTGTGACACGAAGTGGCTGAATTTCCTTTGTAGATGCTCTGCTGTCTTCATATACTGAACTCGGGAGTAAGGGTGCTGTAGAGGGCATCATCAAAGGGCCGCCCAAAGCCTTAGGAGAAGAAGGAGCGCTTTTTGCATTCCCAAGGCTGGGACGTTCACCTGCTCGATCTCGGCTCTGTTGGTAACCTCGCTGACTGTGATGGAGACAAGCCTATGTGAGAGCATGGCCTCCATACCTTCAAAGACTGGCCTCCAGTCTTTGACTGTCTGCTGATTTCAGAGACCCATTTCATTATGGATTGGCTTTATTGCTCCTTTTCTGTCTTGCAGCTGTTTTATCTTAAATATTTTATTAATTCTAGCTACTGTTTTAATTGGCAGAATTAGCCCCCCCCCCAAAAAAAAATCACAGCTGAAATGCATTGTGGAGGGCCGTTCACTTATATAGTAATTTCTTCAATTGTGGCAATATATTTACTTTATGATGCCTCTAAATGCTCACTATTGTATATTTACCAGCCGATACAGTTTTAAATTTTGATTACTTTACTCCAGAAGTAAAAATGTCTAATTGAGTCTGCTTACATAGGGAGCTTGGAGATGCGTGAGAGAAGAAAGGTGGCGGGGGAGGTTTTGGTAGATGCTTGCAGACCTCTTACATGGCTCCGTTTGGTGAAGATTTCTGTGTCTTTATGGCTTCCTTTTCAGGGGTTGGAGAACCTACAACATATTGAAAGGTGGGCTGTTTATTTTCCCTGTGTTGTTTTTATGTACTGAAATATTGTAGTGAAAATAGCTGGGTGGGGTGTAATGAATGTTTTCAAAGACCTTCCTTTGAAAGAGGCTTTTTTCCAGCCCTTGGTGGTCACCACCCATTTTCCTGTGCTGTGCGCGCCTCTCTCATTGTTCCTATCCACAAAGGCCCCTTGTGTGAACCTGTCAGCAAATGTGCCACGAGTGCGACGAGATAAAATGTCTTGGGATATTGGTCTGAGCCTGCCGAAGTGCCAGGGTTTTCACCTGCAGATGTTGGTGGGTTTTGCCCAAGGTGTAACACAGCGTTAGATCTTAAAACTCGGGATTTGGCAACAGTTTTCGGCGTGACTCTCTCAATTGTGTATGGTTGAGCGGGTTTGAGGCTGAAGCATAGGTACGCATACCACCGATAGTAAAGTCATGTGATGGCAATGTTTGTCCCTTAGGCTTGAAATAAAGCTTAATTGAAAAATTGTCCTCGTTTACCTGCAGTTGTGCCATCTTGATAAATGATGCTGGTTGTGGTTTGGTATGGGCTGGGATGTGGTCAGTGCCCCATCTGAAAAATGAGGTTGGTTTTGAGTTTAACTTCTGGGCCCCCCCCCTGGCCTGCAAATTGCACTTCGTTCACCTTTAGCTTTAACCCGCTGGTGAAGAGATAAAGCACATCCTTTGGTATGTGTTTTTTAGAGTAGGTAAATAGTTGGGTTATCTGGAAACAGATCTTAGCAATGCCTGCTGAGCTTCTGAGCAACAATATGTATAGACCTCTAGATTAGCTGTCAAAATTGACTGATTACTACAAGTAATGCCACAAGATAAGGATCTGTAATCTTTCAAACACAAATCATTGATAGAGATCTCAGGTTGTGCATTGTCATAACCTTATCCCCGCTGCTGCAGTGCAATTCCAGCTCTAGTTGTGCTGCAGGGACTCTTGAATGTGTAAGTGGAAACTATGGGGAAAAGCAAAGTGGTACATTTATCACCCCCCAAAAACTTGGCTGGTATCAGAGTTGGTTGCCACAGGGAAGGAATCCATGATCCCGTATCTTGATGCAGCAGAGCAGTGCAAAACCAGTCTCAGGAGGGAAGACTGAGTTTAGATGACTTTGTGCTCCTCTGATTGAGATTTGACCATGTGCTGGGCTGCTTGTTTCTCTCCAAATTTCCTTCTTATTTGAGAAGATGGAGGAGGTGTTTCACTGATCTGTTTTAAGTTTGGGCTGCAGCAGCTTTACAAGGGTGATCCAGAGCTGTCCTGACCCTTTCTGTAACTGGCACTGGGGCTTGCTGAGCACGCAGTGACTTGGAGCAGGAAACTGCTCTGCCTGAAGACTAAGCCACAAGAAAAGTCTCTCTGCCATCTAGCCCTAATGCAGGGTATGGGTTGAGAAAGGCAATGCCTCTGTCTGCTCTAACTGCTGACCAAACAGCAGCCTGGCATCTTCTCTGCATGGCACGGGCCTCGCGCAGTTCCATGGGGCTGTGCCTTGCCCCAGCAGCAACGTGTTCGGTACATCCTCCGAGGTACCAGGCTCGTGCTGGCGTGGTGACTGCAGGACGGGCTGCACTCACAGCATCGTAAAATAATCCAGGACCAGATTAATGGCTGCTGAAATCCCTAATACTTATCTTTCTGGTTCAAGGTACTCATAAAACTAGAGAAAAAATGGTAGAACATAAATCCTGTAGGCGTTGTTTTGCTTACTGTGATTAAATTTATCAGACTCCGGTGACATACTGTGAGCCTAAATGCTTTAAAAAAAATGTAAGTGCTCCTGCAGCCTCAGTAAGGTTTTCAACATTGAACTCCCAAAGTACTATTTAGTTGCTGTGACAACTTCAGTATTCACAATGATACTTTAAATTGCAGGTGCAAAGTGTTTTTTCCTTTTAGTAGCTGTGTTAAATGCAGCTAGTGGTATAAAAAAGATGCTAGTGGTATAAGCATTTTAAAACTGTATAGTTGTAATGCTTTTTGTCTCAGCACCACCTTTTTTTCAGAAATGTTCATGAAAATAAAGAAAATACAAATCCAGTACAGCTTAATTATTAAGACTAAAGGTACCACCAGAGCTTCAGACATTGGAGAAGTTACAGTCTTGCATGTGGTTTTAGAGTTCGTATGAAATTTATCCTGTATGAAGAGCTGATATGTTCCCCATTCAATAAAACATATTCCTGGCTGTGTTACTGTCAGCTGTGGTGGTCCCAGGGTGACGTGGACTTAGTGAATCATAAATATGCTCAAAGACACCAAAAGTTTGGTATTCACTTAGACCTCATCTCTTGATACTCTAATCGTACTAGCCAAGTCCCCTATCATTGTGCCAAGCATCCTTTGAAAAGGCCTTACGAGAATGGAAGGGAGTTCCTCACCCTTAACACGAACTCCTCCCTTGTCTGGCCCTGAGACACTCGTATCTCTCATTTTCCTCACTCTCATCTAGCCTTTGGTTTTAAACCTGGAGGAAAGAATTGCATCACATATTGATAGGGCAGTAGGTGCCAAGCTTTACTGAACTAGCAGTGATTTGTTATTTAGTGGGTACGTACAGAAACACAAGAAATCCCCCAGTCAAACCAAGGAGTCAGTGGTGAGTTACTGTAAGTTAGGGCAGCTTTAAAGGAAGGGTGGAAGGTATTTCATTTCCTTATTTTTGCAATAGTCCTTTCTGTTAGTAGCTTTTCTTGTTACCTTCGAACTCTCATTTCCTCTATTAATGAATTCCCCATTTTGGCGTCATTTGTGTTTGTTTTGTCTGTCTACTGAGTACCATATCCCAATGTGCAGCAATGCTGCTTTAGCACTTGCCTGCCATGAGCACTCCACGTATTTTCAAACCATTTTTTTTCTCCGTCCAAGAATAACTGCATCCTTCCCCTTCCTGTCACTGAACCTGAGCATCTGGTGTCTTCTCAGACTTTAGAAATAATTATTTTCACTGGAAGGAGGTATAAGGAGGGATCTGTATGGCACCGTGTATGGGTTTCATTTACAGCTTTCATAGTTTGGCCCAAGTTCCTGGTGAGCAAGTAAATTGCTGTTTGTAGCACTTTTTATTTACTGATGGTCACTTTTATTACTTTAACGGAGGGGGCTTTGAAAAGCACAGCATGCCATCCAGAATAAACTGCTTGTCAGGTAGAATGGTTACAAATACTTTTTAAAGGAATTTTAAGGCTGAGTAAGCATGACTGCTGGCTGCTTGGTGTCTGCAAGCACACCTCTCGGCTCGTCAAGTGGTGTGGTTCTGAGATATAGCTATGGGAGTGCCTCAGAGTCGGCGAAACTCCTTTTTAGATATTATCCTGGTTCAAATCATCTAGGGATTTGCCGCGCAGAAGGTAAAGCAAAATATAAACACGCAGCAAAACATAGATTTGCTAGTTTGAAATAAACCTTTGTTGTTATTTAAGATAGTACTGCCTGTTAAAAAATTTTTACTGAGTTTTTACTGGTTTGAATTGGAAAATCTTTTTTATGCTAAGCATCTGATAATTTTTTTCATTTATCTGTACTGTAAAATATTTTCTTATGTTTGCATCCTTAGAATGTATTTTCCTTGTTCTGCAAGTTAGCATTTGCAGCTTTAACTCTAAACCACTCAGAAATGAGCATTTACTACAGAAATTTCATGTGACAGCTTAATTAACTGTGGATTCTTGACCTTTAAAGTGCTGGAGCTAGAAACATTTAATAACCAGCCATTGGATATAAAGTAATATGCTTGTTGTTTTACTAGCTTGCATACATGGCAGTGTGAAGCAAAGTCCAAGGGTCACCAAAATCATGAAGTAAACTCAAGCGATTCAATCTGAACTATGTATTTCAAAGTGTTGTACAAATGTGTCACGCAGTATGTATGTATGAGTGAAGGCTACCAGGTTACGTATAAGATATTTTTATGTGAGGTGCGGATTACGATTTCTCTAAAAGCTTCTGTGATCTGGACCTACAAGGTGGGAGTGTAATTCAGTGCAATTACTGTGCTGCCTAGTCTTAAAGAAGCAAGCGTGTGTGTACACAACCGAAGTATCAACCCACACGGACTTGTGAGCAGCGAAACCCTGAGCAGAAGATTGCTATCTTGGCAAGTCCCCTCCATCAGCTTAAAGGAGGCCACTGATGTCCTTGACAGAAGGGAGGATCGCTGAAGGTGACCACCAAGCACCGTCGTCAGCTGAGTGGGTAACAAGGGCTTTGAGGGGGTAACTGGGTGCGGGAAGGACCAGGGAGATGTACGGGTGGAGGTGGTGGGCAGGGATTACTGGTGGAGATGAAGTACTTGTGGGATTGAGACTGCAGAGAGGGTCACAGCCAGTGGAAACAGTACCGAAACATCAGGTCAGTCTCTCTCTGCTGAGCCAAGGAGGGTTGTGTGGGCGCCTAACCCTCCTTCAGACCAGTGAGTGACCCCTATGCCTGCGCGTAGGCTCCTGTGCGGGGGGTGGTCTGTTTGCCCCAGTGTTGGTGGGGCTGATCCCTGCTGTGTCTGGGTCGCAGGTACTTTCTGCGGTTGCCCGGGCAGGGCAGGGGCAGCAGCGCAGCCCCCGGCCCAGTGCCCCAGCATTTCTCCTGGCGGCTGGAGTCCGGAGCTGTCGCAGCAGCGAGTGCTGGGAAGACAGTCCCTAGGCTGACATGGTAGTTTTGCAAGGTTATTTAAGCCGGAGCGGTTACGTGGGGCTTCAGGTTTTGCCAATAAGTTGCCGTGCCTGGAGTTTCCAGTCCTGCAGTAAGAGAGGCTTCGGAAAGCCAGATTATGATCTTCACCCCGAGCAAGCGAGACCTTTGTCTGCAGACATTCCCGCCGATTTCAGTGAAGCTGTGTTGCAAGGGACCGTCAGAGATGAGCAAGGGGATAGGAATCTGGCTCCCGGGATCCGTGCAGGCCATTCCTACACCCCTTCGGATGCTTCCGGTGGGTGGGATCGTGTGCCCTGTTCCCGAGCATGGGTGTACCCCTGGGACCTGTTTGTTGTTTGGGTTATTGGGAGAAGCGCGGAGAGCTTTTGCTCCCCAAAATTCACGAGCTTCACCTGAAAGGGCAAATACGTGCCGGTTGTTTGTCATCTTTGCTCACACATGTTGGCCCGTAAATTCTATTTTCAGAGTGCAAACTAAACATGGCTAGGAGGGAGTGGGAAATCATGTAAACAGCCATCCTGGGGGTACAGTGCCATACTTGTGTTCTGTGGCAGGGAACTGCCTGCGCTGCCTTAACTCTTCCATTCCCTATGGCTTGCACGCGCATAAGCGCTGCGCCCCGGAGCGTCGCCCGGCAGCTCTGGGAGAGTCCATGCTGGGGAGCGCGCCTTCCTTTTCCTTCTCCCTGAGCCTCCAGACCACCATCAGCACAGCCCAGTCCTGAGCGGAGTCCCCAGGCCCGTTCCTCGGCTCAGTCACCATGTTTCTAGTGGAGATTTGAGCGTCTCCGTTCCTTTCCTGTTGTTTGATAGGGAAGGGTCATGCTGCGATTGCAATGCGAGGGGGGGTGTGTGGCCGAGCGGGGCCTTATCCTGCCGAGTCCCGGGACTCCTGAAGGAGCGGGCGTTGGGGAGCTCCCGGGAGACTTCCCTGCAGTGCCTCCGAGCCTCGCGCCAGCGTACGGGTGGATTGATTTCTGGTGGCTTTCTCCTCTCTCCCCCTCTGCATTTTAAAAATCCCAGGTTTGGGTGAGTGAGGTTTCTGCTTCTGCTTGCGTCACTTTCTCCAAGCAGTGACGCACACGTGTGCTCTTTTTTTGCCACATAAGTGGGTGGTTTATGTGCTGGGAGGGAATGATTCATAAATTAGCCAGAGTCTGGGCCTTTTCTCTACTGCCCTAATGATGTGTGAGGAGGATTCGGTGTCGGCCTTTCTTCCTGGCCCTCAAACAGGCAGGTGGTTGAGTAGTTTACATTTTCGCTCTCCAGCTGCCTCACCCGCGGTAAAATGCTCATCCCGTGCACAAAATGGGGGTAACTGCAGAGAAAGTTAATGGCCTGCCGCCTGCAAATGAAAACCGTGAAAACACTGCTTGTTGCAGGATTCTGTCACTGGACTGCAGTTTTTGGAGGCGTTTGCAAGCAGGACGAGTAAGCACAGAATGACCGTCTTTGACACGGGGCAGGGACACCAAGCAAGCAAGATGTCTGCTGGGGGGAAGCCGTGTGGGGCAAGCGGCGTGGGGCTGCTCTGGGCCGCTGCGTGCTTGTGCGGGGCTGGCGACAATAACAGCGCAGCGTGAGGGTGTGCTGAGTGAGGGAAGAAGAGGAGGAAAATTGAGGTGCAGGAAGCCACAGGGGGAAATGCTTAACAAGCAAATTGTTTGTTTATTTAAAATGATAATGGGTGAGCAAGAAAGTCTTTTGAAAGCAACCAGCCGGGCTGATTCCTCCCCTTGTTTTCTGATGTGAGAAAGCTCTCGTGTGGTGTGTAATGAACGGCGATGTCTCTCTGCAGAGAAACCGAGCACGACAGTCAGAAGCAGTGTTGAGGGAAAGCATCTGCAGCACAGAGGAGAAAAAAAAAAATTCTCTGCTCATAGCATTAGTTATTAGAAACCTTGAGCAACCCATGGTTAATGAAACCAGCTTGTCTTATTAGCCACACTTCAAAATTATATTTACAGAGGTTAGCAAAACTAAATATTTTTCTTTGTGGCCGGAGTGGCGTCATGAGAGACCCTGTCTTATACAACCCGTTTTTACTGCATGAATTGCGACACGGCTTTGGCCTTGGTTCCCAAAGTTTCGTATTTAAACGAGGAGGGATTGGATCTTGTTTTGCACAAGTTGCTTCTAATGTGAAAATTGTGGGCTCTAGATTTGGAGCAGAGCCTGAACATTTATGGTTCAAGTTAAATTTTCTAAGCTGCAATTGGAAATTCTTGCAAATATTGCCACGTAGTTTTTGTTCTGTTTGGTTTTGTTTTGTTTCTACTCTTTTATTTCATTGCTAGAATTAGAAACTGAGAAGATTTGTTCCCAGTCTGGCATCTTTATAGGCACAGTGTATACACATTTTTCTTTAGAGAGCAAGACACACCTCTGAAAGAAGCATCGGTGTAAGTAGTTCACATGGCTCTCCCGTTCCCAGCGCCTGCCCCGGGAGGACACAGGGCATTTTCTGTTGTACCTTCTCAGACAGCTGTACGAAGGGACTTTTTTTTAGGTGGGTGTAGTATGACTCTTACTTGGTAAGGAGTTAGTGTCACCTTCTGAATATCTGATCCTTTTGATTCGAACTTGGGCGAGTCGGTGTTCGTTCCAGCAATGCCCCTGAAGTCATTTCAAAGTTGGATCCTGCCCAGATGTACTGAAATGTGTGTAGGTCTCATCCCGTGCGTACCTCCTGTAACAGATGCCATGTTAGAAAATATTCACCTCAGGCAAAATAATTGTGAAAGCGGTTTGCCAAGGGCTGATCATGGATCTTGAGAAGATACCGTAAGCATTTATGAGGCCCCTTGCCCTGTTAGCACACCCACTGGGGAGCACCTCTCTGATCCCTAAGTGTATGCCCAGCTTCACGTGTTTTGCAGCACGAGGGCCCTACTGATGTGTTGTGAGCACATTTCTGCTTTGGACAATGATGTTGCTGGGCCTTGCCCGGCAAACACCTTACTGTAACTTTACTCTTAGCATTTAACATGCACCCTGGCTATTTTTCCTTCTTTCTAATTTACGAAGCCACCTGCGGCTTCCATGCTAGAAGCTTTTGCAGGCAGTCTAGCTCTTCTAGAAATGGTTGTCTTCTTTAGAATACATTACTGTGTATTAATACTCTTTTTCTACTTTATGCAGTTTTGTATGAGACCAGCCATGATTGTAACAGTTTCTAGGATTAAGCGATGCAATTAATGTTTGTTTTCCTCATCATCTTCACACAAGAGAATACATTTATCGAAACACCTTGTTTTGATAGGATTTTTTTTTTTTGGTTGATCCATTTTTAGTTTATAGACTCATTATTTTATACTGATGTTAGAAAAAGCAGGTTATAAGATGCTTCATTTTTAGGCGGCCTTGCAAATGGAGAGCTGCCACTGGTGATTCTAGAAATGAATGTGCAGCCACAACAGCAAAAATGGTGGGGCTGTTGTTCTCCACACCCTGTTCTGTGCTCATCCAAGCTGTGCTGTTTGCACTGGTACAGTATTACAGGAGTCTGCCTGAAAAGAAATATATTCTGTGTTGGCGTGACTAAGGTGCAAAACCTCAACTTGTGCAAGTGAAGGAAACTTGTAGCATCAGCAGAGCTACATGGAGTTGAAATAGCTGATGGTTTTGAATGGATTCAGGTTCTTCATGTTCTGAAATAAGAATTGTACTTTATAAAAGAACCTTAGAGTCAGTAAAGTTCCCTCTTAAACTGTCCTATCCCAGATCCATTACAAATATAGCCCTTGTGTTTCTTGCATGTTAAATTTCGCTTTATGTCCATCGGTGGCTTGATTTTGCATGCTTGCTTCATAAAATGTCTTCCCCTTTGTTATTTCCTGCTTTTCTATTCCCTGCGGAGTTCGAAGGAGGCTGACTCTATCAGTTATGTTATTTTACTGAAGGAGGAATCTGTTTTCATAGACAATGGAGAAATGGTGATTTAATTAGAATAGTTTCTATGAAGGAGGGGTTTCTTGCATGCAACAATATTTTCTTTCCCATTTTGTATCCTTCATGGTCAGGCAAAGGTGGTTTTCCAGAGTAGTGTCGGGTTAAGAGCTGAGACAGTTGTATATACAAACACAGTTTGTTACCCTATTATTACTTTATGTTTTTTAATGTGGGGAACAGCCATTGCGAGTCATTATATCTGCGACACAGCCACATGCACTGTAATTGTTCCAGCTTTAAAATGGATTGTCGCCTCATCCCAGAGTATTTTTCAAGTGAATTAATTTAGATTGAACAAACAAAATTTTTATTTTTAACATTTCCTGAATCCCAGGAATGATAGTTGGCTATTTCATTTTGAATCTCTTGCCTAAGGCAGATCTTGATCCTGTTACACTCAATGGGGATTCAGGGGGTCCAAAGGCTGACTTCTGCAGAATCAGAGCCCTTTCTAGTTGTGGCACCCCTCTCCTAATTCCCGTTTTAAAAGGAGCAAATGGATATTAATGGCTGGTCAATTGATTTAAACCAGTTGACAGAATGGATTCAATGCTGAGAAGATTTGCTCTTGTAAATGCCTCTCTCAAGTCATGAATTGCATTTCAAGAAACGCTTTTTCCTTTCTCTCCTTTACCTACCAGGAGCAGTTCAGAACGGAGGAAGGAGAAATCAAGAGATGCAGCAAGATGCAGGAGAAGCAAAGAAACCGAAGTTTTCTATGAACTGGCACATGAGCTGCCCCTGCCCCACAACATCAGTTCCCACCTGGACAAGGCATCCATAATGCGCCTGGCAATCAGTTTCCTACGCACTCACAAGCTTCTGTCTTCAGGTAAGATCTGGCTAAAAGAAGTTGTCAGTGCTAGTTGATGGCAGCTTGGTAAGTGTGCATGTTCTTTCTTCCCTGAGTACTGGGTCCTAAGGTGAGAACAGTTCACAACTGCTTGTGGTGTGAGAATACAACTAGATTTAAAGAGAGATTGGTGGGTTTTTTTCATGAGGATTATGTATATTTTAATTGGGATAGAAAAATCTGAGTGATATGAGTCACATAAGGTCTTCATTACCAAAATAACAACTGGTGCAGTTTTGCCTCTCTAGAAAAGCAACTTTCAAAAAATTCTTGAATGTGGTTTATTAAGCTCAGTTACAAGATTTTAAACTTTTAAGAGTTTAATCAGAATTTAAACATACACCTTAAGCTTCCATGCTGAAACAAGTAAATTTTGATTTGGCATGGCAAGCATGTTTGTGCCAGTGCATTCAAAAGGCAGCTGGGAACTTCTGAAGGTCCAATACTTCATTTGAAAGGACTAATTGTGCTATATGCCAGCAGTGAGTAGTAGGTAGATTGTTTATGACAAGGTAGACTAAGATAGCTAAAGCAAACAGCTTTTAAATACTCGACATGAATGGATTCTATGTAATCAGAATCTTGCTCATGTTGGACTAGTAGGAATGTGAATCAACATCGTTTTCATAGACTGTGAAAACTGATAAAATTAACAGTGTTCTTATTTTGCACCTATATTTGAATAATCACTTTGATGGAAATCTGTGGTTGGAGTAGCCAGTGAGATCAATGAAAACAACTGATGTTTCTGGGGGAACTTTCACACGGTGACCTATAAGTGTCCAGAATACGTTAACAAAACAATGCCTGCATTGTTTGTGAAAGGTAAACCCATAATTTCATCTTTTCCTTCATTAATGGCAAAACTCCCAATAAGGTCACGATTGCACTTCCTCTCTTTAGAAAAGTTGAGTCATACCATAACAATTACTTTAATAAATGTTACTAGGAAGCATTTCGTTTTGTCAAAGAGCATGCTGTTGGTTTGTTGCTGGTTAGTCTGAAAAAAATGACAAATTCAGTTCTGCTTCTGTGTGCTTTGTAATTTTTATAGCTTTTTTGGGTTCTGCTAAGACTGTTGTATAAAATTTGGGTATTTTCATCTTAGCTTATAGAATGTGGTTTTAACATTTACTTCTGTGAAAAGAAAACTTTATTTGCTGAACAGTGTTTGCAAATCACCTCTGATTTTGTCATGTAATTAATACTTGAAGAAGTCGCATAAATAGGTAAATGTTCTTAAGCATGCCATACACCAAGCCAATTTGTTAGTAACTTTCTCATAAAAACACAGCTTCAGCTTTTCAAATGTTTATATGGCATGAACTAGAGACCGTCACAGCATAGGAAAAGCAAACTTCTGAAGGGCTGGAACAGATAATATAAATAATGCATGTGTCTGTGAAACTTGACATGAAATAGTTTGATGCTGTCATCATCCAAAAAATACTTTTGCTTACCTGAAAACTGCAAAGTTTAAAGTGAAATTGTCAAATACATATACATTTCTCAGTGAGGAAAAAAACTACAGATAAAACATTTATTTAGTGCTTGTAGTGTTGAGACTTAGGCTTATATAATTTGATAGTGATGACAACTCAATATATATATATAATATTCATACAAACACATACATATATGATTTTTCTGTGACAGTGTTTGAAAAACAATGTGATTCATGTAGCTGATTTACATTTTCTTGAAGTACCACCAGGACCCAGCAGTTAGAAAGCATTCTGGAAATGAAACATTACAGTAGTGACAGGCTGCAATTTAATATTTCAGGCTTTCTCTATGTTAGTTATTTGCTTAGCCTTAAGTCTGATGCACTTCCCCAGCCTAAATATTGACTTGGAGTAAGTCCTCTCATTAAAATTTGTGGTGTTAGTCAAATGCAGAATTGTCCATCGCTGCATCTTTAGACACTGGAGATGTAGATAAGGGTTTTAAAATCTTTAGTGCTTCTATTCTGAGGAACGTAAGGTACTTTAAAGAGACTGATTTTCTGGAAGAGCTGGGTATTATTTTCTGACAATGAGAATACACTGAAATGAAAGAACTCAAGCCAGAAAACCACTGTTTGTTTGTAAAGGCCTCATCTGCTACTTATATTCTTCTGAGTATAGCTAACATTTAAATTAGCCAAGCTAAACACATGGCTGAAAATTTAAGCCCTGAATATTTGAAAGATAAAATTTATCAGGCATTGGAATAAAGTGGCATCAGAGAGAGAACTTTCATTATCGTTATCAGAATAATGACTTCAGAGTATTATTTCTTCCTCATGCAATTGCCTGACAGTTTACACTTGCTGAGACTCCTGAGATTCACAGGTGTAGAGTATTGCTCTGGCCAAAGTAAATCTATGTCAGGTTGAGAACTGTTTCTTGCTCTCAGGAGATAAGGCTGGAAAATTTTGAATATAAGCATTTCTGGCAGGTGAGCTTTGTTGAAAAAATACTGCCTTTCAGGACTGATTAACACCATTGCCGTACAATAGCTGCTTAATACAGCTAATATTTGACAGGTGCTGTTTTTCTGATCTGTTCCTGCAAAAGCAGAATTTGAGTCTTTGATGGTGGGCTTCTGAATAATGTCAGTCTTTATAAGGACACTGGCTTTCACTAGAAGGCCATCCAATTTAACTCAAAGCGGTAGGTTTTCGATACAGCTTCTGGCTCTCAGATGAAGTAGTTTGCCGCTCATCGCATTTTGACGAGCGTGTGGAGCAAATGGGCTTGTGTGATACCTGTCCAGGCTCCCTTCTCGCTTTTGCTCTAAACCCTTTCTGAGCCCCAAGCAAAGCTGCCCCTGTTTCACAGGCGTGTTTAGCAGACTGGAATTTGGCCATTAATTCTGCGTTGCATTTGAGCAGCCTGATTCAACTGACGGGAGGCACAGGGGTTACTGTGTTGTCTCTGACAGGTGAACTGGGAAATGGGGAGGTAGAGAACTGCAGCATGCATGAGAATCAAACGCCTGCGCCGGTCCTCAGACCACCCCTTTGCTTTATGTTGTCTTCATGAAAATAGTTTTGATTATTTGGGCTAGACACTTAGTGTAAACTGGAGTTAAGTGGGAGTATTTGTTCTGTCATTAATTAGGACATTAAAATAACATTTACTGCATTTATATATATATACAATGTCACTAAAATAAACTTGCAGTGCAGCTTGAAAAATGCTTCAAAAGATAATAAAGAAAAAAGTACTGCTTGATTAGCATTTTTGTTATTTATCATTTATTCTATCAAAAAATACTGGAACACCAGATTTTATTTTATATTACTGTTTGTGGGCACGATTCTCAAGCGTGAACACATCTCTTCGTTTCATGGCAGTTTTGCTGGGAATGGAGAGAGCAAGGGCCTTCCCAGGACTGCACCCTCATCTTTCTGCAAGCTGATGCTCCAGATGGGATTTCAGAGATGGCTGTAGGCAACTTGCCAGCCTCAGTCCGCTGGCATTGAGTGTCTCATGCCCCTTCGTATTATTCCCTGACTTGGAATAGGGCTTTTCACTTGTGTAACTCGGGCTGTTTTACTAGCTGTGTCTGCATAATGATTATTTATCTGTCGGGAAGCCAAGACCTAGGGAAATCTATGCCCACATTCTTCCAGCAGGTGAATGGCAGAGCCCACGAATCTGAGCCCTCATTGAGAGCTCTCCCGCTACGTGCTTCCGAAAATCGCGGCTTCTGGATTGCAGGGTGCACGTCTCCTGCAGGCGTTGCGGGGCCCGAGCTTGGCCCTTGTATCCTATCATAATAGGAAATAGCTGGTTGTATATCTCAGAGTTCAAAAGGGTAAAAAATACCAGGTTTTGCTTTATAAAAGTTGCTGCTTTACTTAGTAACACGTTTCCCTTTGATTTTCACAGTAGGCAATTCTGTGTGGGAATGTTGGAGAGGAAGCCTTTAACATTTAGAAATGCAGGCTGTTCGTCTGACGGCCTGATTGAGATTAGTATCACAGGAAGCAAACTGAAACAATAGCTTTATAATACTGTTTCCACGTTCTGCACAGAACAGTACACGGTATAATTGGAATGCTAAGTAGAAATATCATTTAATTATGATCATCTTAAATATTTTTCAAGATGTCTCCTAATTCTGTTGGCACAATACATCTTTGCCATCATCGCATTCAAATGTTTGGGATAAATTTAGAACCAATGTTTGTTCATTTCAAGTAAAGGTTTTGATCCCATAAAGTTGCAGCTGAAAATAGACTGTTTGATGCTTATCAGTAGTGGAACTTTTGGATTTGGAATCTGAAGTCCTTTAGTATAATCAGAAAAATCGATAGCAGTACTCGTCCTCTGTTATTCTCTAATACAGCTAGTAAATTAGCCTAATGCTTTTTTGGGGGGTTAATAGATGGCAAAAGAGAAATAACTCTTTTGCTGAAGAATGGCTGTCTTGGTTAACAGCTAACATTGTGATAATTGCTAAGGCTGCCTCAGACAGTGTCTTTTTGTCTGAATATGAGGAAGAGAATCCACTTCAGCAAGCCTGTATGGGCAGTATTAGCATGTGATGCCAATAATTTTAAGTGTTTATTTGGACCATGCCAATACTAAAGGCATTACAGGACCCAGAACTCTTTGGTACCAGTGAGTTTCTGTGTGTCAGGGCTGGAGACTTTTTAGTCAGGCTAATCAGGCAAACACAATTTTATCAGCTTTCTTTAACCCCATCCCAACTGTGTGGTCACCCGGGTGTCTTTTCTGTGCAGAGATCCAGCAAAGGAAACTGGATGGGAGTTGCTCCTGAGCAGGCAGACAGCAGCAGAAATGGGGAGGGAACAGGGAAGCAGACGGGAAGTTGTTTGGGAGAAGGGAGGCCACGAGGAAGCCAGTGTGAAGTTGTTTCAAGGGAGGGAGACAACAGAGCCGGAAAGCCAGCAGGGAGCAGAAGGGAAAAAATAGCTTTTCTCTAGGCTTTTAAGGGAGAGGACAAGCTGTAGGGAGAAGTGATGTGGGCATTGTTTTTGAATGTCTGGACAAGCTGCATCTAATCTCAGACCATTGTGGCATAAAACAGTGCTTTAAAAATAGCATGTCAACTTGTTTGCTTTTATTAAATTGGAAAAATAGTTTTGTGCCAACCATGCTGCTAGGAATGAGAGTGGAGCCGGGTGCTGAGTGGTTCAGCTTTTCTGGGAAGGTGCACCAGAAGGTCCCACGGGGCTCAGGAAGCCTGGCCTGATGGGTGCTGCGTCCCACCGTTCAACACCCATGGCTGCAGGACTCGAAGCAGCTTCCTGGGAGCAGTGTCTGAGTGATTTGGCTAGATACAAACTCTGCAATCAAAACAACACTAACATAAGTGTTTTCTTTATCAAAGTTGCTTGTGCACTTGGAGATAAGAGACCTTCAGGAAGCTTCAAGTTTAAGAGTAGCTTTTTCTTGATGTATCTAAATTGAAAGCTTTTATTGAACACATTGAAAATATCCCCTTGAACAGGATGTACTGCCCTGTCAAGACAGAAAAAAAGAAAAAGGAGGGGGGAAAAAAAAAAATAAGTTGCTTTCCTTTGATGCAAAACGAGAAACCGGGAAGAGACAAGGCATCAGGCAGTTTTTACAACCCTCCTCAGGAGCAGCAGCTATAGCATGGTGTCTGTTATGCACAATATCCAAGCAACTTTCTGGTAATTGTAGGATCCAGGATTAGAAACAAGGCCATGAAAATTCTGTGGAGGTGACGATGTGACCTCCAGTAAAAACCTTTTTTATCACTCTCTACCTCTGAACTGACCAAAAAGGCCCCTTTGAGTCAGATCAAAGGTGTTGAGAGTATAGGCTGTTTGCTAGGAGGTTGTTTATACCTGAGCGGTTATTTCTTGTAAGGAGAGCCTGATTTTTGAGCCTTCAGACTCATTCCAAGAGGTTGGACTGAAGGAAATGAGCAAGCATCTACGGAAAAAGTGTTCTTAAACTTGGGAACAGTGCATATCCTGACAGTGGGAATTAATCAAAGCTTGTTTACAAGAGCTATTTTTAGCATAAAAGGCTATCATAAACACTGCAATAAGCATTTGCCATTACAGTTCAAAGTTTCTTGTTGATGAATAAATTCTACTTTGGTGGTTAGAAAATTTTTCAAAATAGAGCTGATTAAAAAATATTTATCAAAATTTGATGAAGACTGAGAGATGGACTGAAAAATACTGTATCAAAATTTGATGCAGGCCAAGAAATACTGCCTTGGGGCAATATGAACAGTGGATGACCCATCAAACTGGGACATGGGACACGGTTGCTCTGTTCCTGGTTCTGCTGTAGCTCTGATAGTCGCCCCAGGGAGGCCACTGCACTTTTCTATGGCTCTCTGACGTGCTTCAGGATCTCTCGATCTCAGCTAGACAGAGATTCTCCCTCCTTTGTAGGCTTCCCAGTGCTACATGAGCACAATCTTGGCTGGGATCCATAAATGTAACTATAATATGAACAATAACATTACAGTACTTCATTCTGCTGAATCTGCTATTAATTTATAGTTAAACTGGCATATTTGCAGTCCAGTCTCCCTACTATACTGTCATGGTGCCTGAACTGAGATACTCCCATTAGGAGAGATGGAAAGATTTGCAGGAAAAAGTAAGAAGCACATCCTTATTTCAAAATTTAGTTAGCAGCTATTTTGAAAAGCAATGCTGACAACAAAACCTCTACGTAAAAATCAGGGTAAACTGAATCCATGGTTACCTTTCTTTAAGACCTGGAAAATTCTGGCAAGTCTACATGGGGTGCCGCTACCTGGATAAAGTGACCTCAGACCTACTGGAAACCAAGTTCTGTCCCCATCTCCTCATGCTAACCTCCTCCCCTCATTTGGTCCTGGCTTTCTCAAATGTTTTCCATCTGAAGCTGAAATTTGTTATGCTAAAGTGAAAGACAATAGGGATTTCTGGGAGCAGCTTGCAGTAGCAATGGCTTTATTTGTTTTTCTTCTGCAAAACTGATTCTTTCTAAAGCAAACCGGATTTTTGCTAGTGGCAATAACTGAGTTGCTTCTGATGTATCAATCTCCTAATGTGTGTATATCCTCTGTGTATTAGTAGCTAGTGATTTTCACAGGAGAAAGGGAATAAGCTATAATGCTGTAACTGCAGCCATATGAGGGACTCTTATTTATTATTTATATTACTATAATTATACTAAGTTAACCTGATACAGGGCATACCAGGGCCACCACAGTGATGCCCAGCATATTTCTTTGCTGCGGTAGCTAATATGCTTCAGAGGTTTAGCCCAGATGACACCTTCTGGGACTGTGTGTTTGCAACCACCACAAAGAACCTGGACACACCTTTGGTGTGTCTCCCACTGCCTGGGCCTCCCTGGGCAGGCTGCCGGCAGATGCTCATGGGGGACAGGCAAGGAATAGATGGGCAGCAGCAGCACAGTGGCCCCTGGAGGTACTTGTCACCTATCTTTACGTGCCTGATAGTGCCTACAGTTTTCTTGTTACAGCTGCTCCGACTCTGAAACGTGAGCATGCCCTATTAAGTACTGCAAGAAACCCGTATCTGCCAGCTCCCCTTGCCTGCTGCGGCCGGAGCTGCTAAGGGGGAAAGAGGGGATGCAGTGGGGTTTATAGAGTTACCAGGGAAGCTGGAGGGTGTCTGCAAAACACCTTGGTTGTGCTTTTGGGTTATGTGAGAGGGGATGCACAGCAGCACAAACCCTCTTCCCTCCCTCCTCCCAGTCCAAATCATCAGATGTCTCCAGCTGGACAAAGGTAACTTTAATGAAAAAAGTTGAACTCTGATCCCACAAAACCCTGTAACCGCGTGCTTTAAAGCTGACTATATCTTTAAGTGCTGTGCTCGGCTAGGACGTTAAGGGTTTGAACCTGCAGCCCTGATGTGAGTGATCCTGTGTCCTCTGTGTGTGTTTGTATAAGTAATATAATTTATATACATGGAAAAGCAAACTTAATCATCTGATAATACAAGTAAAGTGTTTGTCTTTCACTGTTGGAGGCATTTAAGAATACAAATGCTTTGAATAGCCTTCCTGCCTTTGAATGGTCATGTTTTGTTAATGCAAACTTAATGAGCTGGGAAAAAAAAATGGAAAGGAGGGTCTTGGGTTAGAGCTGAAAAGTCATTTTTTTTCTCTGAACCCACACTTGGCTGATTGTCTTGGGCTATAGCCATGATCCCTGCTGAATAAACCATTTGTTTGCTTCCGGAAAAGTAAAAAAAGACCCTTGACATTCTTTACACAGCAGAAACAAGCTTGGGAGCAGATGGTCACTTACCTTTTTTTTCTTCCCCTTCCCTAAATGTCATTATGGTCAAAGTGCATACTATTCAAATATATTATTGTGTATTTTCTGTATTTTAAATGCTAGCCCTGATGTAATTTCCTGAAGTCAGTAGCTTTGTGCTGAGGAGGAACTGGCCCCTGCGTGTGTAGTTTGAATTGCAGTGCAGGCACATGAAATGATAAATCCCCAGCCTGTGCTGGCCATCCACGGAGAGCGTCTGCTCTTCCCTGCTACCAAATGATCACGTTGAGAAGCAAAGGGTGATAAACTAAGTCCTTCCAATAGCTTTGGAGCTGAGACTGTTCATTCCTGTGTTTGCACAATGGGTAATGGGCTGCTGCCAGGGAGGGATGTTGAGGAGCAGGAGAAGGATGCGGAAGCAGCAGCCAGCATCGTTTTTGTCACCACTCATTTGTTCCAAACAGTGGCTCAGTGGGCTCTGCGTTGCAAATGCTCATCCCCTCTGCATTTGCTCACTGACCGTCCTTAGGCACTAGCAGATGCAGTTGCAGCAGGTATATAGATCGGACTTGTCCTTTAATCATAACTCATTAATACTTCAAAGTTAAAACTGCATTAGTTTGGCTCAGCCTCTTCCCTATCCAAAAAAATTCCAAACCCAAACCACTTCTATGGGCTCTGCGTTGCAAATGCTCATCCCCTCTGCATTTGCTCACTGACCGTCCTTAGGCACTAGCAGATGCAGTTGCAGCAGGTATATAGATCGGACTTGTCCTTTAATCATAACTCATTAATACTTCAAAGTTAAAACTGCATTAGTTTGGCTCAGCCTCTTCCCTATCCAAAAAAATTCCAAACCCAAACCACTTCTAATAATGTTTTACAAAGCAATACCTTTCTGCTTCTAGACTGCTTCCAAAAAGAGTATTTCAAGAAGAAACATGAAGGGAAATGATGAATGTGCTGTTTCAGGGAGGAAAAGAACAAAAAACTGAAATACTTTTGACAAGTGCTAATAGAATGTGTACCAGAAAACAAAAACTGTATGCTGAAATTGCAACATGAAACCAAGAAAGAAGAGCAACTTCTCCAAGAAACTCGTTTAAGAGTCTCACCGTTCTTGCAAATAAGGCTGATGCAATTACAGCTGGAGCCTCTGGCCAGCAAAATTGGTGGTAGGGCCTGTCCTGGAGCACTCTTGTGCCACCAGGGAGGGGCACAGAGCAGCTCGCTGCAGCTCCTCTCAGATCATCCTTGCTGCCTCGGGCTATGGAGCACCTTTGATCTAGATGGGACTTACCCATAGCCTTGTATCTTCAGCAGTGTACGGCTGGAGTTGGTTATTCTTTATTCTGAGACAATAAGGGGTTTTTTGTTTGTTTGTTTGCTTTTTTCCCCTGAGTTCAGAGTCTTACCACTACACATATTTGCAATGACTGATCACAAATGTGCAGGCTGACAAAACTATAAAGATAAGCTCACCACAGCATGTCTGAGACCAGATGCAATATCTGTAAATAGTTTTATAAAAAAATAATCCCAGAAGTTTCATATAAAACATGTCAAGAAATTAATGGGCCAGCTCCTACACAGAAATTTTTTTATACTAGTCATCTACAAATCATCTCCTGCAGGCTTCTTATTCTTGGAGCTGAAACATGCTTAAAACTGTAGAAGGGAAGGCAAGAGTGCTGAGTGGACACCTGGGTGACTGGCATTAGGAGGAGCAGTGTCTCCCTCTCCCTCCCTCCCCGCCTCCGGCTTTGCCTACTTACTGCCTCCATCGCAGGAGATGAGCAACGTGGAGCACACACAACGAGGGCATTGCAGTGCCATCAGTTGTCTCTACAGCACAGCCAAAAAGCAACAGGAAAACGAGTAACCAAAAAAAATGCTTTCATAAATGTTCTAGCATGGCCTTAGATTTCAGCACAACAGTGGCACACCTCCAAAAACGGGTAAGATGCACTGGGTTCATGAATCTGCGGCAAACATAAGGGATGTAAGTGGGGTCTGAGGCTCTCCTCCTTGCCGGACAGGAGGAGCGTAGGTGGGTGATGAAGCTTGTCAGAGTTTGGTGGAATGGCACGTAGGGAGTTTTGACGTCTGCAGATGAAAAAGCAGGTATTGGGTATTGGTGGGATGGATCTGTGTTTTTCCCAGGAATACTGAGGTGTATGGGTTGAAAGAGAGATTTTCCTGAAAGGGCTTCAAGGAAGTGTTTCTTCTACTTTTTCTACTAAAGGTAGTGTTAATTAAGGGTAGCTCCATACCAAGTGGAGAGGTCTATTTAGGCACGCTTCATAGGAAAAGTATTTGAACTTCTTAGAAAACTTGACCTGATAGAAATGTCTTCTTAGATGTTTGTTAGGAATGCACAAATTTACTTACCTTCTGTAAGATTTGCCCTATACTTTGTGCCTGTTAGGAGATATAAAGGTTGCATGTGGCCAAAAGAATGCGCACGAAGAAGATGTGCTTCAGTGTCTGGGTATATAGGTGTTATGTACTGAAAACACATCTTTCAGAAACACGCTAAAGGTGAATAGAGGGTCTGTTGCATTTGCCAAAAAGTTGAGAAAAATATCTTTCTAGTGATAAGGATGTCCCTTTCATACACTGTGCAGACAGCTTTCTTCTCAAGGAAGGCCCCACCGGAAGGGGTTTGTGGAAAGGAAATTCTAACAGCAGAAGAATATTTTGTTGCCTTGTAACTGGACGTGCTTGCGTTGAAAAAGGCTGGCTAGGGTGCTGAAGACTTTAGATGCTTTTTTTCTTTTTTTCTCAGTATGTGCTGACAACGAGAATGAACTAGAGGCAGACCAGCAGATGGACAACTTGTACCTGAAAGCTTTGGAGGGATTTATTGCCGTGGTGACACAGGATGGAGACATGATCTTTTTGTCAGAGAATGTCAACAAATACATGGGTCTTACCCAGGTAACTTGTTCCCTAACATTTTCCTGTCTTTGTAATACAATTCCTAGAAACGAGTCCTATGCCTAAATGCAGAAAAACAGCTGCGTGTCACTGCAAAAAAGACTGGAAATAAAATTTCTTATTTCTTAGGCAGGTACCCTGTACACCAGACAACAGTGTGGTGTTTTTTTCCTTCTCCCTATCAAAGTTGTAGTGGTTTTGGTGACTGCAAACTTGCCTTCCTAGATATTACCATGGAGAGGAAAATGGGCATTAATTCAACTTGTGTCTTAGACTATGGGACAGAGGGGAGAGAGCTGCTCTTTTGGGTCCCCCCTTTTCTTTGTTGGTTGGGGCATTTTCTCCTTCTGTATTGAAAATAACTGCTGGTGCTGACTGTAACTGCACCATGTAAATGCAAAGATAGGGAATTGTTTTGGGAGAAAATGACAAGTTATACATACAATAAACAAAGGAAAGGTCACTGGATTTGTGTCTGTGAGCATTGCTGGATCTCAGCAAACAGAGCAGATGGGTTAGGGACACTAGAAAAATGGGTGCAGCTTTTGTGGTGGGAAGGTTGTTCTCCTGATTCCCAGTCTGCGTCCTCTCACATCTGGACTGGGATGTTGTTAAAGACAGCCAAAATCTTCAGAGGATTGTGGTTGGATATATGTGCACTTTAGTGCGCCCTCATGAGTCACCAATTTGATGTGGTTGTGGAGTCAAGGTAAACAGGTTAAATACAGGACAAATTATTGATAAAGGAGACTGAGTCAAACCTACTCTGACCCACTGCACCCCACTGATTAGATCACGGTCAAATTTGGCATCTTTGATTCCTCTTAATTCCTCTCTGAAAAATCCTGGAAATGAGTCCAAAGCTGCTGTTGATGCACTTAGTTCTAGTGACCAGTTTCATCTGAATAGGTGGTATTTGAAAACAGATAAATACTATTAGTTGCTTTTATTTGGCTAAATATAGTTCTTACTTCTGCTCAGGTGGAATTAACTGGACACAGCATTTTTGACTTCACTCACCCATGTGACCATGAAGAAATTCGAGAGAATCTGAGTCTGAAAAATGGTAATAATGAAAATAGAAAAGAGTCACTGTTTGCTTTTTAAATAACCAAATGAAGTAATTGGCTGGCAGTAGAGATCTGTTAGTCATGGTAAAGGGAATTTTCATTCCTAGAGTAATCATTAACTGTTATTCAATACTTTGCAGATTTGTTTTGTTTTGCCAAATATTGCTTATATACGATAGCACTAAGAACTGTTTGTTTAGTATTTTCCTTTCATCAAGTTAAGACAGGCATAATGTTTTCAATTATAACACTTTGCAAAGATTTATGTGCTGCAAGCTAAAATACAGGTTTAAATGCACAAAGTCCTATTTAAGTTCCACTTAAAGTTTTAGGTCTGAGCTCTACAAACTGCTCTTGAATGGTCCATGCATCTTTGATGGTCTCTGCAGGTAAATTATCTGAGAATTAGTCTGTTATTTCTATTGAATCCTTCATGCTTATAAGTAGAAGAAATCAAGAAGCAAAACTGAGAAAACTCATTTGCCATTTTCTTTATACAGGTCCAGGCTTTGGAAAGAAAAGCAAAGAGATGTCAACTGAGCGTGACTTCTTCATGAGGATGAAATGCACCGTTACCAACAGAGGCAGAACTGTTAACCTCAAGTCTGCCACATGGAAGGTACCATATTTGAGACATAATAAGTGTTTTTGTTTTTAAAAGGCATTTTGGCGTGTAGAGAAAGTACGTTCTAAGTTAGTTTCTCATTCAAAATTCATTATTTCAGGTTTTGCACTGCACTGGACAAGTTAAAGTGTATAACACTTGCCCTCCTCACACTCTCTGTGGGTATAAAGAGCCTCTTCTCACCTGCCTTATAATAATGTGTGAGCCTATTCAGCATCCTTCAAACATCGATATCCCTCTGGACAGCAAGACCTTCCTGAGTCGCCATAGCATGGACATGAAATTTACCTACTGCGATGACAGGTAAACTCCACTGATTTTTCCTTTCCATGGGTGTTTCTATCTTCTTGAACAAAACAAGCGGTCCTTCCAAATATCCTCCTGTGTGGACCTGGTAAGCAAGGACTAGAAGAACGTGCAGTCTGTTACCAAGACAGCTATTCAGTGGCTCACTTAATCCATTTCAAATCTCAGTTTAGGCAAAACAATACTCCTGCTGTATTTCCTCCACCTGCTCAGTGAGGAATTCAAGTTCACTGGCAGGAGATGAGGCAACTTAGAGCCATAAGCATTAACTTCTTGGGTTTTAACAAACTGAAGAGTATGCAGGATTTCTGTTCTCGTTTTTTAGAGAACGTCTCAAATGACATGCCTTACGGACCTTAGTCAAGGACTGTCTTATGGTTGGTTTGGCCCAGGATGCTATTATCGGTTAGCTGGAAAGTACTTTATGCTCTAGATTAACTAAGGATTGCTAAGGCATCCAGACCATCTGCAGTTCTGAAATGGGGTTGCAGCCTCTTGCTCAATGAAAAGCAAACGACCTTTGCTGGTTACCTATCTGCTACTTTTAGTGGCGAAATGAAGGGGAGGGGAAGATCTTGGGTCAAGCAAGGGGCTGTCCTCCACTCCCCACATTCCCCTTTGAGTGGAAAAATGGAGATCCCCCTTGTCTCTGCCTGCCTGATTTCCCCTGGGATGTCTATGGCATTTCACACCATCTACCTCTTCTCCCTGTCTACGTATTGTGGTAACCATCTTCCCTGCGTGTGAGTGAGCCAGACATCCCTTTGCATGAAGCGTCCTCCTGTTCCTCGTTTCCCCAGAAAGTCCTGTCTACTACTGTGGGTTTGGTGTTTGCTTTGGGTTTTTTTAAGTTTATGAGATCATCCCTGAATTTAATATGAAGTCATTCTGTCTAATGAAACTGGTCTCCAGAAATTCAGAGATGGTAGCAACCGCTGTGGTCTGTAGGGTTATCAATGGGATTATACGTATGCTCACATTTTACGCAAAAACTCACAGGATTGAGATCTTGGTTATTTTCTTCATCCTTCAAAGGTTTTTAAAAAGTTGTTCTAAGCAAGATTATTATTTTAAACAATGAAGCAACCGTATAAACTAACAGTGTTAGCAGTTGTGGATGAAAGCAAGATTACAAGTGTGGAACTTGTGACTGACCTTCTTCTGACCTCTCTGAGAATTTAGCAGCAAGTGTGCTGTAACTAGAAATGTCCTCTGATGTAACCACAATAAAACAGATCTTTTTTTTTTTTTTTTTCCCCCTTGTTAATACTTTCAGGATTAAAATATTGAGATATCAATAGGATTTTGCTGCTGGGGAGAGGGGAAGCAACAATATGGTAGTGACTCATTATTAAAAGCAATATACCTCTGAATTATGGGGCCATTCAGTGGCAGGCTAGAGGAGAGTAACAGAGGATTTTGCTGTATTGCAGCATTCTCATGTCTCTGGCAGACTTGATGCATAAGCAATTATAAATGAGAATTAGAGGGACTGATAGTATCCCATTAAAGATACACATGCTTATTTTAAAAAGAATGAAATATTATGCAGTGTCTTAAATAGTGGGAGTTGATTTACAGGGAAAACTTTCCACATGGCAGTGAAATACAACAGCTTCCTCTGGAGGATTTAACTTGTAAGGAATTTCAGAGATTTCTCTTTAAAACCAGGCAACAAAACAGCATGTCTTTTACTAGATAGTTTTGGTTGGATGTTTCATTCATGTTTTATTGAGATTACGATAAAGCTGTAAAAAGCCAGCCAGACCAGAGAAGGAAGAGACCTCACGCACCTTTCAGGTTCTTCCCAGCAGATCCTCCTGGCTCTTGCTTCCCTCCCGGAGGGATGTTGATTTCTCTCCAACAGGCGACACATCACTAGACACATAAAAATGCAAAACACTCAGCTGTTCTTATCAAATTCAGTGCTGCTAGACAAATTGTATTGAAGGAGCAGCTTATGCCAAGAATGTAAATCCAGGCTGAGGAGTGGGGGAGGAAAAGCAGCATGTGCCAGTCAGATGCCTAAACCCTTTTCAACCTGGTCTGGCCTTTCTGCAGTGAAGCAGCAGGGCTGACACAGCTCATTTCTCCATAAGAGATTGCATCTTTCCATTCAGGGCCGGTATCGTTGAGGGCAGCGTGCCGCCTCTAGCAGGCTTCTGCAGCGATCTGAGTATCCCCTTTGCAGTTCATCTGGTGTGGACAGGTCTGCTTCCAGGGAGCATTAAGTTTTTATTTTTGAAACATTCCATTAGAGAAACTTTAGGATTTCTGAGGAAGTACCTTAATGAATGGCAGCCATGCTGGACCTTAATCATGGAAGCACCCACCTTCAGCGTGAAGCTCAAGTGAGTACAAAAGAGACCTGTCCTTATACATGAAGCTGAAATTTATCCTTCTGGAAAATGAGGATCACAGCTGTCATCTCCTTAGCAAAGCTCATAGTCTCTGTCTGTAACAAAGCAACACGCAAAATATAGGCTGGCTACCTTTCACCACTTTTTAACAAAAACTAGTTGGCTGACATGAAGTACCTTGATTCTTTTGGCTTTTCCTCAGGAGGGTACGCAACAGATGCAATATGAAGCAGGCAAGAGCGGCCTTCCCTCATTTAAAATGTGTGAGACACTAGCCCATATATTTTGCCTTCCAAAAATAATTTATATATGTGGGCCTATGACTTGCCAGTGGTTAGGTGGGATATATTTGTATTCTTAAAACAGCTTTTGCAAAGTGATGAGCCTGTAAAGAAAGGTTTGTGAGATATAAATATCAAAAATAGGTTGTTCTGTTAAATGCCTGCTTCAGCCATTCCTGGAGAGCGATTTAAAAATGTTCCCTCACTCCACTTACCTTGGCTAAGTGGTTTACAGGAAGGATTATTTTAGCTGTAATACGGAAATGCTGATCAGTGGTACAATTCAATAATCCAAGTGAGGATTTAGTTCAGCTGCACAGTGCTTTTGTGTCGGGGAAGATCTCCACTGAGGGTGTTTTAGTCGGGAAAAAAAGGCCAGTCTTTGTACAAAGGCAATTTTGTTACTTTGGTGGTAACGTATCTTCCTGTGCAGGGCCACGGGGGCTATGGGTCGGTGGTAACGTATCTTCCTGTGCAGGGCCATAGAAAATAGCATAGAAATAGCAGTAATATGCTTCTGTGGCAAAAAAATTCACAAAATAAAAGTGAAAACAGTATCTGAATTTGATAGAAAACCCTGAAACTACTTCAGATGCCCCAGCACATGCAGTCTCAGCCTTTTTGTTTTATGCATATGCTGTGTTTTGGAGGGGGCCAGGGTTTTGAAAGCATGGAGGGTAATGTGGCATTGTAGGTGGCGTTGGCTTTTCACCTTCATCCCTGTGACCTCTCTGGGGTGCTGGGGAGGGGAGGGAGAAGCGGTCTTTGCCCATAATTCCGTGGGCAGCATACATGAGAGAAGGCTAAAGAAACAAGTCTGTTCTGCCCGGCTTGAGATGTGCAGGCGGTGGCTCCAGAGGCTGCGTCACAAACCAGTTCCCTGGCACCGGCACGCTGAAAAGCGTATGTTCTCCATTACTTGGAAGGCATGGCTTGCTTTGGGGAATTGTATGTTCCTGGTTACAAGAAACCCAATTAGTTATAGTCTTTTTTACTTTTTCTTGATTGGAACATTTTAATGGAAGAGTTGAAGAAGAAAAAGGAGCGAAGAAGGGTGTATGGTGATTCAGAATAGGATGGTGCAGGAAGATGCAATGCCGATAGTGCTGGTCCCAGTTGGGTTTCTCCTAATATGAGTGTACATGTGGGATCCAGGCTGTGCCCAACTGAGAGGAAACTGAGTTGTATTGTGCTTCCAGTTACGTCTCTGTAAAACAGAAATATGCAGACACAGGACCTCATATGAGGGTTTAAGTCAGTTTGCCATTTGACCTATACTTGGGGAATGTTTTTAAATTAGGTGAGAATGCAAATAAGCATTTGAAAGGACCTTCTGTCCCTCCATCCCTGCTCAGAGCAAAAATGCATTATGGAGACAATAGTGAAGTGATGATATCTGAAGCCAAAGATCCGCATTTGGCAAAACTGGCTTTTGGTATATGCCATATTTAAGAAAAAACATGACCAACTTCTTTTATTAATAATGAAACTTTGATTTAGCTAGACCAAATGAGTAGGACAGACAGCGTCCTGGTGAAGTTTTTGATGTACCCATCTAATTTTTCTAACTAGCAGGGCAGATACACCTGACCAGGCCAGCCATCCCTCTAAGAAGTGGACAGGGGTCCCAGGATTTGGCATTTTATTTTTTTCTTTGGCCTGGGTTAGAGTAGAAGCAGCCATGAATATTTTCAAGAGGAAATGTGGGTACTTGGCAGGACTGCCATGCTGCCCTGCAGCCTGCTCTAGCAGGCTGGCAGAGTGCTTTACCCAGGCATAGTGGCTGTGTTGGGCTTCATTTTTTTTTCTTTCTTTCTTTTTTTTTTTTTAAACTCATTCTGCTTTAAGTATAACTTTGTTTGTTTGTTTGTTCCTGTCAAGACCAATTTAACTTCAATAACTTGGTAAGAGTTTGAATACAGAAAGACTTTGTTAAGAGATCCACACCCTCACGCACACAGTCCACACACGGCCCGACGAATATACACCCAGCTCTTTTTTTATAAGCAGTAAACATTACAGCAGTCTTTCACAAAGAGCCTGACTTCTCAGTGCTAACAGTTCTTATGATACTATTTTAACTCAAGAAATGGTATACAATAAAAAGCTTTGTACTCCTATAAAGAGACAGAAAAGCACAATTTTAAGAAAAACCAAAACACTTGAAATAGCTCATCTCTTAGGAGATGCAGCCTTTGAAGCAGTGAGCTTTGTTTGCTTTGCCATGTCTCAAAGAGATAAAGTGGGGCAAAGTTGTACAAATCTAGAAATAGGATTCAGATCGCTTGTTTCTCCATTGTGTACCCGAAGCCCCAAACTTTGCCTTTACTCCACATCCCAAGAAATGGGTATATTAAGAGAAACTGAAGTAGTGCTCAAAAAGCATTTAAGTAGCGGTAGTTGGGACAGATCCCCTACTGCGGAGGGCTACTGCCCACCTCTTTACTGTGTTTTCTGAGATTTTGACCTCAGTACATCATGGTGACAAGTTTAGCTCAGAAAACTGAAGTGCCAGTCTGGCAAAATTAAGATTCCCCTAAAGGTATTTGTGTTTTCAGAAACGAGTGGTTAACGGGAGAATAAACAGCATCTCAGCCCACCTGTCATCTTCGACAAAAATTGTTATCCTTCTAATTAGCACCGATTTAGCTTTTACAAATGCAAAGGAAACCCAAAGGCTACCAAGGCGGGAATGCCATCCAAAACCACCATACAGTTTGTTTTCCAGTTTTGTCATTCCACAGCTTGCACAAAGAGCAATTTTCTGTCTGGTGTCTAAGCAAAAGTAGGAGTCTTGTGTTCTGGACTCAGGTTTTGTAAATGACCCTTTGTTCCCATGGGGCATATACATTTCTGTGACTCTCTTAGTTATGTAGTCCTCCTCCTCATAGCTCCGTAGGATGCTTTTTCCTTTGCACTTAGTCCTCTGTGTATTCACCTGGCATTTCGTATTGCTAAGAGGCTCCTGTGGAAAGCATGCGGAGTTTGGAGGGTGCACCTCACTGGCAAAGTGATGCTCAAGTGAGGTCAGTGCAGAGACCTTTGCTGAAGCACTTGCTGCTTTCTGGCCCGGGTGCTGTTCAGGCTGTCAGCTGTGGCCAGTCTGCTTCCACGAATGTCTCAGGAGAGTCACAGGACGGGTGTGATGGAGATGGGGATAGCTGCCCGCCTCGGCCCTGGTGCGTAACGCAGCATGGAACTGGCTAATCCGATTTCCAGCCCTGCAGCCCAGGAGATTTTTTTTAAGCTCTTCAGAGTCAGTAGCACCAGAGGAGGAATAAAGGAGGGTGTGATCTGCCAATTCATGCACCCAAAAATAATACTGCTAACAATTCTTGGAGAGAGGGGTTTTGTTATAAAATAGTGGTATTTAAAAATGTATCTAGGAAACATGTCAGCCAGTTTTAGGGGTTTTTTTGGATGGGAGAAAGAAACATTCTATAATTTTTTAAAAAATCATTTCACTCCCAGGGGTGTTTAAAGAGAAATTTAATGCATCTGAATAGTGGTAACAGATTAACGGATCAGTTAACAAGAGCATAGGGGCTGTTTAGCCATTTATTTTTTTTTAAAGTAACTATTTTAAAACAATTACTCTTGATATTTCACTGTTACTAGGCGTGGGTTTAGAATTTGGCCAATGTTGTGGAGTTTGTGGGTAACTCTTTGATATCTTATCTTTTTGTATATTTTTTAGTTGTTGTAGTAAAAAGATATCACCCCTTGCTGACTTTCATCCAAGATTACATTAGATCTAATTAAATTTGACATTGTCACAGCAGGATCTCACCACAAGTCGTTCTGTGCCATGGAATGACAAGAAGAGTAATTTTATAGTGAGGACATTCATTGTGAACTGATCAGTGAGGCGCAATTTGAGAGGGGAATTACAGGACTGGGATAGGGATTTGGTGTAGAGATTGCAATTCCTATATGGTAAGAGTTAAGACATCCTCAGCCTGCTGTAACGGGTATTTTTTGCTTGCTATCTCAGTTCCACTGTTGACATCCATGAAGGCTGTAACGTGGTTTTGGATTTGCATTGGTGCTGCTGGGTACATGATGCTTCTGTTTTTTTTCCGTTATCGTTATTTCCTTGTCCTTCTCCCCGCTCAACCCCCACTTGGCTCTCAGCTCCCAGTGACTGGATTAAGAGGAAATCCTCAACTTCGTGAATTTTAAAAGCCTTCCCCTTGTGATGAGCTCCAAACTAACCTGGATGGTTTTATGATACTATGCCATTATATAACCAAAGGCCATAGTTTCTGTTTTTAAAGGCTGTATATTTACACTGGTCCTGGCAAAAGCCTCTGGCCACTTACACCAGTGTGTCCCAGTTGACTGCGTAAAGGCAAGCAGCAACTGTATTTTGGGAGCCTTACTTTTATTAGGTCTCCTTCTGTATTTTTTGTTTTCTCCTGATGGTTCAGCTCTGACGACCAACTCATTATGAGAACTTCTGCTTTTGTTAAAAAAGAAAAGCAATTATGGTTTCAGAGAAAAGTTACAGATTGACTGGGGTGCAATTTAAAAGCTCAGAAGCTTGTCAGTGAAGAGAGTCAAAAAAGCTACTCTTTTTGAAACCTGATTCAAGAATTTCCCCTTTGTCAGTCTAACTGTAAACATAAACAGAAGAGTAAGTCTTTGGGGGGAACCCAATAAAACCAACTACAATCTTTGCTCAACTAAACCATTATAAGCCCAGGTTCGTTCCATGGAAATCAGGACAGCGAGTAGTTTTCAGAGTGACAAAACCAAGGTGTCCCAGGGGTATGAGCTATACAGTTCTGTGGAGGCGAGGGAAAAGCTGACTCAATGCCTTGGCGTTCAAACCATACACAAAATAGCTCCGTCTTTTGTGTCTTCCTTGCTGGAGGGGGATCTGGGAGATGAACGCCATGCTCTTGCTCTGTTTGTTTTACAGCATTTACATGTCTGTCTTGTAAAGACATGCCTGTGTCTGGAGGGCTGGGCCAAGGCTGTCCTTCCAGGGAGTACGCAAACCTGAGGATGTCTCTCTTAGAAGTAGCAACGCCACTAATCAAATGTGGTGGTGGCAGATAAAGCCTTTCCAAGGGAGTTAGTTATGAGGCATAGAACTTGCACACTACCATTTACAGCAGTGACGTGCTGCAAGATGTGACCATTCCTCACAAACCTCCTGGCTTTTCAAGGTTTATTTTATGACAGCTCAGCAGTTGGTTTGTAGTTGTTTCTGCTACTGCTCTCTGCTACATTGCAGGTTGTTATTGCAGCTTAAACGCTAGGAAAAGTGTGGTGTTGACTTGGAAAACAGTAAGGTTTCCTTATTTTCCCAGAAGATATGATATCTTTGCTTTTGAATTATTTTTGTACTAACCGTGTTTCCTGTAAAGTTGTGTGTGATGGTATTTCAAACTGAAGTTTGGAAAAAAGAACCCTTTTCTTCCACCCCCTCATTAGAGAAAATCATCTGCACAGTTTGATGACCTATTTTCATTTATTCAGGAACTTGTGAGAAATCCTGCCTTGCCTGAGTACTCAGAAAGGCTCTGCAAAAAGTCTAGTTTTTGAGATCATAGCTTGCTTTGTGTAAAATCCTACTTAGTTTGTGGATTAGTCACCCAAGTAACCTAATCCACATGCTAAAGTTCTCATATAATTGAGAAACACTAAGTAGAGGAGCTGATTTTTTTCTTTTAACTGCCCTTAATTTCTCACTTTGCATTTTTATTTTATTAAATGCAATACCCAAAGTAGTGATTTAACCCTTTTACGTATGTTTTTTAAATGTACACGTTCTTTTAAAGCTCATGGTGCCAACTACTACCCCCTCACATGCATTTGATTTTGAATGATGGTAGTTGGGAGTTTCTGCATGTAATGGACAGCTTGAGAACAGCTTGTCAGCCATGGTTTTCCAGTTGAGACCTTCTGTAAGAGATACTGTGCACTAGGCCTGGGAAAATTTGCAGCACACGTAAAGACATCCCTAGGAATTTTTATTCCAGTAGTAGTAAAAGGCAATTTATTCTGAACATGGAAATATTTCAGAACGTGATCAGAAGTCCTCTACAGCTCCTAAGGTGTTTGGAAATTCAGAATTTCTCATATTATGGTTTTAATTTTGTTAGTGTAAGGACTCGAGCTGATAGCTGCCCTGCACATGTAAGCATAAGGCTAAGGCGACCTGAATTTTAAATATTTGTTTTTTTCTTAACCAAGAATAACAGAGTTGATTGGATACCATCCAGAGGAGCTGCTGGGCCGTTCGGCGTATGAGTTCTACCACGCCTTGGACTCGGAAAGCATGACCAAGAGTCACCAGAACTGTAAGTCTCATTCTTATTTTTCTTCATACAGCTTGCGGGTACCTCAATAAGTAGTTGAAAATGCAAATGCACCTTGTGTGTGTTTACGCTTTGCAAGAAAGCTTACAGGTTACTGTGCTTGTCCAGCTGAAACCTGCTGCTGATCTTTCCAGAGGGTCTGATTTTTGCCATAATGAAAACTAAACTTTTGGTAGAGAGGAGAATCGCTGTCTCTCTAAAGGATAATACAAGGATCAGCTGAAAATTTGAAAAGCTGAGTTAGGCAGTGCTAGTCTGGCAAGAAGCACATTTACTGGTGGTATTATCCTTCTTAGCAGGAAGAGCAGCTGTAAAGGGTAGTAGGAAGAGCTTACTGCAGTGTATTTTTTGAATGTCTTTCTTCTGCTACCAAATAACAGCTATCTTCCCCACCCAAAACAGGAGGAGGAGGAGACTTTCTAAAAGGTATATTCATTATACAAATTATATATACTGCCAGGAACAGCTTCTTCTTGTTATTCTTATGCCTATGTGAACTGTCAGTTTTAGCTGGTTTTAATGTAAAGTACCCGAGTACCCGAACCGTTCCAGGAGCTGAGATCAGAGCCAAGATCTGCTCCCTCTCTTCAGCGGGCCACACAGTTATGCTTCCTCTCTCTCTCACATAAGGTGTCTTAAAATTACTGAATTTAAATCTTCAGTCTCTGTCTCTAGAGTTGGCACTATGGCTGGAGACAGCATGGTGCACTAATGTACAAATGACATTTCCCACCTCTGCCTGTCACAACCACTGAACTAGAGCTTGGGAGAGTTCTCAGGAACGAACCACTAAAACTTCTGCTGCTGCTCTTTTTATTAAAAACAAAGCAAAGCTGCTAGACTGGAGTCCACAAGCTAAAAAAAACCCCACCTTTTAGTTACTATGATGAAGGTCTCTGTCCTCAGGAAAAAAGCCCATGACTTAGGTCATGTCTGTAGGGAACTGCCCACCAAATAGACTTACAGAAAGTATTTCTGTGCTTCCCAGAGAAAAGCAGCAGCAAAGAATAACTGTCTGACCTTAAGGGAAAAAGGGAATATGCATTAGCTCCAATGGCAAGGATTCAGGACAGCTTTGAGCTGAAATGTTACTTGAAAGAATGTTTGGCAGTGATTAAAGTTGTGTGCTGTAAAACAGTGTTGGTATGAATTATCCTGTTTCCAGAGCTGCTTTAAAAAAAGAAAAAAAAAAAAAAAAGAGAAAGAGAAAAGAAATCACACCATACTTACAGAGAGTTGTCTGGGAATGTATTTGTTAAAATTTTTTTTTAGGTAATATGTGTTCCTGCTTTTAGCAATGAAAAGGAATTAGTGATATTCATAGATAGGATGTCTGTGCCCTATGCTGGGCTATTGAAAGTCATCCTGAGAAATCAGTGGATATGCTGCCCTGTTGCTTTTGAATTGCTGAGTTGCATTTCTAAGAACGCAACTTGCATGCATCCCTGGGACAATGCCAGGGAGGGAATGAAATGAGAGCTGGCAATCTCTTTGGTAACAGGAGAGAGAGCGAGCCCTTGTTGGTTATCCATATCTAATTAATTAAATGGGACCACTGAGTTGGGACTTGTTCATGTAAAGATTTCTGGACAGTTTCTAGTAACCATCTTGACCAGGCATTGATTGAGGTAGCTCCTCACTCTAGCAATTTGAGTCACCTCATGTAGAGTACAGTTTATGTCTAGATGCCATTTGTGCCTACTGAAAAGGGCACATAGTGTTTCTGATAGCACAGCATCAACATGGATGATCTTTACCGTTGGAAGCACGGGACCAAACTGTGCTGTGATAAATGCTGTTGCCCACAACAGAACCACCACTTTACATTGCCAGCAAATTTGACCCTTTTAGGTTTCTAAGATAAATACTTCCCGTGTCTTCTGGGACAGTCAGGCTTCTTACCAACTCAGAGAACAACCACAAAGGCAAAGTGACAGCAAGCTGTGACTTGAGAAAACACACATAAGCCCTCCAAATAGGAAATCCCTAGGTTTCATAATGTGTGCTATTGAGATGTTTTCTAATGCACAGGGTAACCAAGCAGTTATATAGCTTATACAGAACTTACTAGTTCTTCCTAGCATGTAGCTATACAGAACTTACTAGTTCTTCCTGGCCATGGTCATTTATACATGGAAATATCCACCTCAAAATTCATGTTCAGCACACTTGTATTTATTAAACAATTATTTTTATTAGAAATATGCTATGTATATATTCATGCAATAGTGCAGTCATCAATTCTGACAGTGCCAACCATTTAGTGTTGTAAAGATGCATAGGAAATAGAGGAAGGAGACTGAAGTTTGAAGAGAGAGAGGGAGAAAAACCTCAAATGAGTCTCTTGGATAGAAACAGAACTCCTTCCCTTTCCTTCCTTCTAATTTAGTGATAAATCATGCTTATTGCAGTTTTACTGTACTGCAGGGTTGGGGTTTTTTTCTTGAAGTTAAATAACGACCTCACATTCAAGCAAGCCACAATAGCGTTTGTGTTCTTGGCTGGAAGTATAGTGCATATAGAGTACGAAAGTCTTAATTAGTCACCATCAAATGGATGTGCATTTGAGTGCATTTGGCAGTATTTAGCATACCCAGTTTTTCACATGTTACGCAAGCAAGATGAAAATCTCTGTCTTGTTACATAAATCTGCACAAAAGATTGACTGTAGAGCTATATTTTCCAATTCAGCAATTAATAATCTATAATCGCTTCCATTTAAAGTCTGGTCTTGTTACCATTAAAGCCAGTGGGAATTTTGCTATTGACTTCAGTGGGGAGCTGAATGTCACCATTTGGGACCTGCCACTTGGTAGTACGCAGCAGAAGTTCAACAAGCCTTTCAAGTGAATCATATTCTCAAGTGTCTCTCAGCAATTAAGAAACAAATTTTGTGTTCAATTAAATTCATCCCCACCTTCCCCCTTTCTCCACCCAAAGATAAGAAATATAATTGGACCCTATTTCATTGAGATGTTCTGTAAAGATACAGGTAACGTATATGTTAAAAAAAAAAAAAAAAGTGAGAAGTTCACTCTGAAGGCAGAACCTTAAATGTAGTGTTCATAACAAAGTCAGTAGTTATGGGTGTATTAGTAATTTATGAGATTACCCCACGGAGGGATTCTGCTGTACTTTATTATATCAGAACATGACATGCTTTGAATAATAATAATAAAAAAGATTAAAGCAGTAAAAAGCTTCTTTGTAATGTAACAGGCGCCTACACTGTGACTCTTATTGATGAGCTGATGATTAGGAAGCAGTGTAATTATGTTTCACAAGCAGAGCAGAACAGTCCAGTCACTAAAACACTTTGAAATGAAAGCCTTTTGATTTTGTTCCACCAGAAGTATTTAATCAATAAAAGTAATGTTCTACTTTGTCTAAATAAATTAAATGAAGGATGATTAAATACTCCTAGGAAGAAAACAAACAAACTTCAGAGATAGAAGGATAAACACAGCAACAATTATCTGCAAAACAGTTGTTGCATTTCACAGGCCTGGATTTGTACATTTGTATGGTGGTGATGTAGGAGAGATTGACAATAAATACCTTCTGTTAATGACCACATTCACAAGGAATTTTTCTGTACAAAGACTGCAGAATCAAGTTCCCAGCCTTACTGAGTCAAATTGCATTATTTTTAGGGCATTAGTTTGATGGTATACTGTCTTCAGGCATAAAAGCTGTTTAAAAGGAAAGATTGCCAATGCACTCAAAGGTTTAGTTGAGCCAGTTCCTACTTTTGCCACTCAGTGTGACTGTGTCTGCTTACAACTACAAACTCTTATTAGTACGAGTACTGCTTGCGTACTCCAGCCCTAATTTTATTGCCATTGATCAACAATATTTTTCCTCAGCTGACAACTGTGAATTGCGTGACAATATTCATTGCTTTTAGGAAAGGATTTACAACAGCCAGGACATCATAAAACTTCACATCTCAGAAGTCCAAAGCTCTATATTGAAAACTCATTCTTTTCAAATATTATAAAATACTGGGGGGAGGGGGTGGATTTCACCCTTCAAACATCTAGATGAAGCTTTAAACCCGAGTTGTACTATTGTCAGTTTAGTTTGAGAAACACAGGCCAGTTCAAAAAAACATTTTGAGTTAAATAAACATTATCTGATTTGTCTCATGAGTCTTAGTTCCTTCTAGGCTGCTAATTTCAAGCTATTGCAGACGAAAAACACAGTTCAAACAGAGAAATACAGTAGTTCAGCTTTATTTTTTCTCCTAGGCAAAACACTCCTATTTACTGTTCTTAATTTTTAAGAGTGGTATTACTTCCTGAGCCTCTTAAGACCAATGCTGTGCTAGTGACACCTTCACTTTATTTGTGGTGTTGATATTTCCAGCTCCTAATGCTAAGGTATAAAAAGAGATATCTACAGATATAAACCAGGAGATTTTTTAAAATTTTTTGTGAGTATAGCTTTTAAATCGTCTGACTCGGGCTTATCCATCACCTAAATAAATTCACTTTTCTAAAGATCAATTTGAGATCCTAAACCGAGGCACTTCTAGAACAGGGACTTTCAAGAAACATGCAGTCAGCAGGCATTATTTTGGGGGGCAATTAGGATCTCACATTAAATGCAAAAAAAGTCCCACACTCTGATCTGAATACTCAGACCATCTAAAGAACTCAAATGCAAGGTGTCTTGAGACCTCAAATTAACAGCCCCTTTTATATTTAAAATGGCCAAATTTTTCCAAAGTTAAGCATTCTTGATAACAAATGTCTTAGTGTAGTTTTGCATAATGAAAACTCAGAACAGGTTTATTTAAAACAAGTGTTACATATTGTGCGTTTCTGTCTTGCTGCATTATTTATATCTCTCTGCCCCCTTTTCTCAGTGTGTACAAAAGGTCAAGTAGTGACGGGCCAGTACCGTATGCTTGCCAAGCATGGTGGATACGTATGGCTGGAGACTCAAGGAACAGTGATTTACAATACGCGCAACCTACAGCCTCAGTGTATCGTCTGTGTCAACTACGTGCTGAGGTAAGTTCTACAGGACAGAAAAACCATGTATGGATTCATGTGCTGGAAGAAATGCAATAATCAGAGGAACTTTTGAAGGGTCTATTTATTCAGTGCTGTTATTCTGAAATCAGTTTAGTCATGTTTGTTCAGTCTTGTTTACTGATGTTAGACATCGATGAAAAATGTGGCATGCCCGTTCCCATACACGCTGTTGAAATACACCACCACAGCTTTTCTCTTCTGCAGAGCGGCTGCTCTGCTGATACAACACAGCATAAAGCCTGCACTGAAGATTTTATTGTGTAACACAACTGCTAATATGTTTTGGTTTTCTAATGCTGTGACAGAGGGATAAAATTAAGTAATAATTGTATCTTATGTTGCTAGGAGAAGCTGTTTTCCGCCTCAAAAATCAGGACCAATCAGGAGTTTTGCCTCTGTCTGGCAAAACTCAAGCATTTTTGATCCTAGATGGGGCCAAAATAGGAAATACTTATTTGAGTGATAGTCTGGGTCATTATAGCCTCGACTACATCCCTTTAAAAAGCAGAGCAACAAAGCCCTGAGTATTCCCACAGAAGTCCTGACCACACTCTCTGCGTCATCTGAGATGGTGGTGCTCAGCAACGCTGGAACTGTGCCTCGCCTGTCGAGAGCCTGGCATGCGACCGAGAGAGGTCAAAACGCTTGCATGGGCCCCAGCTTTAGAGAGTTTGTACTGCCTACATTACCCACATCATCTTTTTTTAGAGCGCAAAATACCTAAAACCTATTTTCTTGTTAGTGAAATTGAGAAGAATGATGTTGTTTTCTCCATGGACCAAACGGAATCGCTCTTCAAGCCTCACCTGCTGACGATGAGCACCGCCTATGAGAGCGGCATCCCCGGCACGGAGAAGAGCGACTTCTTGTTTACTAAGTTAAAGGAGGAACCAGAGGAACTTGCTCAGCTGGCACCAACACCTGGCGATGCCATTATTTCCCTGGATTTTGGTTAGTATTTGTATAAATAATTTTTGTGCAACAAAGAACCACATACGAGCCTACATTTAGAAACTTAACAGACAAGGTCTGTTTGCTGTGTGTACAAATCAGGAGTAATGGCTCTAAGACCCCACGTGCTCACACGAGTGGAAAATTTCTGTGAATGAGAGCAGAATCAGGCTTTCTTGCTGACTAAACAACATGCATTAAGTCTATGCCAACTTATTGTCATGGCAACTAGGAGCAGTGTTTACTTTCAATGAATAGCTGCAATTATATCATAACACAGCACAACCTAAAAGCATCGATTAATATTGTTAAAACTCCATGCAGGGACACAGAAGTTTGAGGAAGCCCCTGCCTTCACCAGTGCTGTTTTGACACCAAAGCAAGCATGGCCAGTGGAAGTGAAAAGCCACGCTGCTCAAGGTGAAACACTGACAATACCATCCTTTACAATGCCTCAGATTGCACCTGGCAGCAGTACTCCAAGTGCAAGCAGCAACAGTAGCTGTTCCACGGTAAGAAGAGCTTTTAAAAAAAAAGCATGTTACGTTTTGTATATAAGTCCCATCAATATATGTAAACGATGTTTTCATGTTAGCAGTTCCATCTCATTGCTTGCTAACAAGGCCCAGTGTATCTATATCCCTCCTGTACTGCATATATCTTAAGCATGCATAGCAAAAACATCAAATGGGAACTATATCCTGCCTTTACATTGCAATCCTTGTTTTCTCCCAGCTGTCCGTCAGTAATTACTATAAACTATAAAACAACAAGTAGAAGAACATGCTACCACCTTTCACGGAGTTAGCCTTAAATAAAAAGCCAATGTAAAATGGTGTGGTCACTAGCAACATTGCCCCAGACCCATATGGCCTCTTTCTGTTTCTTAACTAGAAGCTATAGTCTCTAGTACATAAACTTTACCTAACTCAGGCTTTTGAGAGCAGCTCCATGGAGTTCCTCACTGAAAGAATGAATGTGCTTTCAGGGCACTGCCCCCAAGAGCTGGAGCCACTCTTAGTCAGCCTTTACTAGAGGATGTCCAATTTTAATAAAGACATTGAGGTAGTGCTAAGCGTCTCCCTTCTTGACTCAAGTATTTAATAGTGTACATCTCATGTTGCTGGTCTGAGTTGCCAAAAAACCATTTAAACTAAGATGACAGCTAGGTTCCTGTATTGGATGCCTTTGTTAATCAGTATAGCTCTCAAACTGTGTAGTGACAAGTAATCTTGTGTTGGAGAAAAGCATATGATAGAAGTGGACAGTTTTGGGTTCTGAGGACACTATTATATACAGCCTGATATCATAGGAAAGATCTGTTACTGAATAGCACAGTATAAACTGCACGATGCTAAATCAATACTGTGGTTGTCGTGCTGCTTATAGCAAATTCTTATTTCTGTGCAGCCAAGCAGCCCAGGAGATTATTACAGTTCTGTGGATGAAGATCTTAAGATTGAGGTGATTGAAAAACTCTTTGCCATGGACACAGAATCAAAAAGTCAGTGCAACTCCCAGGTAAGGAACTAGTATCTCTTTCAAAAGCCATAAGAATCAGTCCCCTGCTAGCAGGTAGTACAGATGCAGATATAGTAACATACATGCAAACTGCATTTGCACATGTACACCAAAACTTTGATGCACAACACTAACAAAAATATACACTTTCAAAAGCTGGGGTGTAAATTTCTATCCCTAACTCTCTGAAGCAAGTGCCTTAGGGTGTCACTGTGGTAGCACTGCTAAGAAGAAAGAAGAAGCAGAACGCTTTCAGAATTTGGAAGCTTTTGTAGACTGGATAAGGAATATAAGCAGCAGCATTTTAAAATATGGCCTAATGACTAGCAAGTAAACATCCTTTCTAGAACAAAATATAAATAAACTAATTCTTGCAAAACCTCAAAGTGAGAAGGAAATGGCCCTCATAGCACATGCCTCCTTTAACTACAAAATGAAAACTGTCATTTTGGATATATTTCTCTTGTCTTACCTCTTGGAGGATTTCGGAGAGATATGACAATTACTCGCACATAAAGTAACATAAATATCAGTCTCCTGGATTCTAATCTGATTAGAAATTCCCTCTATAAATATCTCTCTTAATCCTCCACTATTATAACACTACATTAAGTGAATAAAAGGTGTAGGCCTGATTCAGCCCACCTAACTTTAGGTATTTAACTGAAATGCCCTTGTCAAGAGCTTATATTTCTTAATAGTTAAGAGAAAGGAATAGGCATTGCTGGCTGGCAGCTCAGACCTTACACCCATCTTCTTCTATTAATCCTATGGAAAGTTTGGGGTGATTTGGGCCCAAGTGAGGTCCCTCAACTTACCAGTGCAATTTGCAGACTTAGTAAGATACAGGTAGGCTGTAGTCCTTATCCTAAAGAAATTTCATCTAAGTTTGGACATAGAAACAGCAATGAAAGCAACAGAAAGAGTGGACAGATCGGAGGAAAATGTGGATCAGGATCAAACTCAGTGCAAGACTTGACATGTGCAAACTTCAGTTTTGTCAGACTCAGCATCTGCTTTCACAGGTGTGTCCCACCACATCAGCAGGTTTGTCTGGTGGGAAAAATGAGTGTTAGAAAAGTGCCCCTGTCATGAGCTGACTGGTGGGCCAACATTCATTTCCCTCTCTGTTCAGCTCTGGTCAAATGCCAAGAGAAATGAATTTAAATATGACTAGTTCTCCAAGGAAAAAAAAAACCAACAGATTTAAGTGCAACAGTGTCCTTCCAACTACATTTTTTAAAATTTTTGCATTTTTAGACACATTTTTTTCATGTAGCTGGATTATAAGAAAGCTGTGTTTTCTTTTGTAGCATGGAAAAGCCTGAGGTTGAACTACATGCCACATGTTGTAGAGTCTTGGCAGACAAGTTATTCAAAGCTTAATGAAACACAAGATGTACTTCAGATCACAGTGATGTTGCCGGCTGCATGCAAGCTGCTTTAGCAAATACTGCTTATCTGGAAGTTTTTTTTCTTCAGTTTGCTGTCTTACTTTGCTGATGATGATATGATGAACATGTATGCTAGTCATAGAAATAAGACATCTTTAAATAGGAACTGGCCAGTTTCATGTAGGTAAATTTGGCAGTGATTTTCTGGCTTCACATCTACTAGTATTTCATGTCACACTAACTGCCACAACTATTACTAACTTTTAGTTTCTTTATCAACTTAATTTATTTTTGTGCAGACTGACTTCAATGAACTGGACCTTGAAACCTTGGCTCCTTACATTCCTATGGATGGAGAAGATTTCCAGCTCAGCCCAATCTGCCAAGAAGAACGTCCTCTCTCTGAAAGTGCACAAAATACCCAGCAGAGTCTAAGTAGCATGAGTACCATCTTCCAACCCCTTGCTTCTGCTTCACAGAATCAGTTCCTCCCAGAGAAATATTGCCCACAGCTATCAAATAAAAACAATAACCCTGGTCATGGGTCCCTGTCATCGGTATTCTTCAACCATGTGAGTAGGTCATCACTGCTACCATACCACGACCAAGCCAGCACTCCCCTGTCTTCGATGGGAGGAAGACCAAACACCCAGTGGCCACCTGATCCCCCATTAGAATATGTTCCTGCTAAATGGAGACTCATGGATAAATACTCAGGATCCCTATCAAGTTCCCCTTCAGGGCCACCAATACATTCTCCCAGCATGCCCATATATAAAAAAAGGTAAGAGTTTTTGGGGTATGACTATGTATTTTACTCAGAAAAGATTTTGGGGGATGGGGGCGTTGTAATATTGAAAAATTCTTTTTTCTCAATTCAGCTGGAATAGTTGTTTTGATAGGCATCAGACTGCACTTTTGGGGAAATTAGTGTGGTGCTCTCCCAGCAGCAGTCAGTCTAGGGAAATCAGAAGTGGGCCAATTTTTTGCTACCTGTAAGGATGCATGAATGGATTTCCAGCTGGTTGGGTAAAGATTACCCAAGCAATTTTGCAAAGCCTGGTTGACTTTATGGACTTATAAAAAAATTCTGAAAAGGCTTACTGGTCCAGCAGTAAGCTGGGACCAAAGCATACTTTCTTAGTTTGCACATATTTTTTGCACAACAGAAAATAGGGGAGAGGGAGGGATGACAGTATGTTTATTGTTGGCACATGTAAATATTATAACTAAGATTTGAAATTACAGGGGTTTTTTTCTACAGCCCTTCTTTGCCTTGATCACCTTCTTACACATGTGAACAGTATGGGATGAGATGTGGATCAGAGGCTGCAGTCCTAGAAGTTTCCTATCATAGCTAGAAGTTTCTCTGTAGCTCTTGGGTAGCATGCAGAGTGTGGGTCTTTGGTGTTGGTCATGCTAAAACATTCAGGAAGTACATAAAATAGCAATGGTCATTTTAAAACATGAAGCCGTGCAGTTTACCTGCAGTTTGCTTTCTGGGATTTCTTGTTGTTGGCAGAAATACCAGTATCTGAATATGCATCTGGAAAGAGAGGGTTTGTCCCCAAAGAGCAACCTGTGTGTTCATATTTAGTATGCAAAGCAAGGGGACAGGTGTGGCTCTCAAAATCCTATCCTTAAAAATCGCATTACTTTCTTTTCCACAGCATTTTTGTCTGCCTGGAGATTCCTAGAGGCTGTTTATGCTAGACTTTCATTAGTCTTTGATCCCAAAAGTTTCCAAAGCTTGTGGGATGACTAACAAAAGGAAATAAAAACATTTGACGTTTAAGGTCTGTCCACTGTCATGTGTCAAAGACACCTTAAATGTCTTTAAATGAAAGAAGAATTTCTGTAAATGAACAGAATCATTTAGATTTGTCTCCCTGCTCACTCACCCAGAGATCTTTTCTCAACAGGCCCCTAGATGCTTTTGGGCAACGAGGCATAGATATAAACCCGGCAAGAATTGCTCTGTCTAACAGTTTGAAACTGAAGCGACAACTGGATTATGAAGAACAAGCGTTGCAACAGCTGAGTGGGGTAATTATAAAAAATGTGTCCCCTTCACAACTTTTGGACTCACCATGGTCACTGGTGTAATTATTTGTTTTGTTTTTCTTCGCATTCTAGGGAGATCCATCTGTCATTAACCCATCTCACCTAATGTGGAAGAGAATGAAATTTCTCAAAGGGGAAAACTGTTCCTTGGTTACAGAAAAGAAGTCTCTCAGCACAAGTGTTCTTACTGGTAAGAGAAAAGAAAGTGGTTTTGCAATGTTAAGTATTGAAACACAATTTTAAGACAGGTTGAATAGAAACAAAAACTCTTTGAAAAGGAAATGTAAATAAGCTCTGTAAATATTATACTAAGCTAAAATTAAAGATCAGATTGTATCACTAAGAGCTGAACAATTTAGGTACATTTGATAACTACTAGGGAGATGGTTTCATGTATGTTCACACCATTGCTTTGGAGGTAGCAGAGATTAGCTTAATGGAGATGAGTTTACCTCGTGCTGATCCAAGGTGCGGACATCTGAGAGCCAGAACTGATACTTTCTCTCTACAACATTGTGTTTCCTTACACAAGCATATCTTGGGTGCAGTACTACTTCCAGAGCTAGCGCTCTAGGACTTCCTTTGTGACAAGATGTAGGTATGCCTATGAAGGCTAGTGCTTTCTGGACTTCCTTTGTGACAAGATGTAGGTATGCCTATGCCGTGTGACCGAGTATCACTTTGCTTTGAATTAGTATTATCTACTACACTGGCTTAATTTAACTTTTTTTTTTTCCTCCTACTATGTAAATCAGATGAATTTGTCTGTAACTCAAGAGGTCTAAGCCAACCAATGAATCAACTGCAGCAGCAGCAGCAGCAGCAACCCACCTGTGGCAGTCCTGGTGAGAATTTGAAAGCAGGAGCATTTCCCCCTCCGTTTTACAGTTCCCATTATCAGGACTATACTGTCCAGCCACCACCTCATAAAGCGTCAGGTAAGAACTGTCAAATACAGAAATTGGAAAGTTCTTGGTATTTAGTTCCAGTACGGATTCCATGAAAGAAAACACTTAAAAGAATATGGAGGAGGATGATAAACCGAGAGCCAAATATGCATTGCTTCATAGAATGAAAAATTTATTCTGTTGTTTAGTGTGAAACTTTAATGTTTACGTTTGTAATATATGAAGAAAAATTTTTTTGCCCTTCATTTCAATTAAACTTAATACATTTTTACCTTGGAGGTCCAGTCATCCTCCATACATACTCTTGTCTTGTGATGGAATTGATTAAATTGTATTAAACAACTTCACTGCAGCATTGATATGGGAGATTTGTAGGTTAGAGTCTTAACACGTGCCTTCTAAAAGTTAAAATAAGTAATTAAAGGGGACATATATATGTCCCTTTTAATATAAAAGCGGAGTGGCTGTCAATTTAGAAACTGTGTTGTTTACTACAGCTTTCCTTATCTGCACCAATATAATTTTTCTCAGAACAGTCTAAATTGGGGGTGGAGGTGAAAAACTGCACCTGTTCGTGTGATGCATTTGCAACAGTTTAAGGCAGAGCGATGCATAGGTTTGCTCTGAAACCTGTAACTGCTGGTGGTTTGAGGCATATTGACATAAACACAAAATGAAATTATAACTGGTATAAGCAGAAGAGAAAGGAGAGGAAAGAAGTCTTCTCTCTGTCTCTCTGGTCTCAGCACCATGACTTACTTCATTAATCTCTTCCAGGTATGACCAGTCGTCTGCTGGGGCCCTCCTTTGAACCTTACTTGTTGCCAGAGTTGACAAGATATGACTGTGAGGTGAACGTCCCTGTCTTGGGCAGCTCTACACTTCTGCAGGGCAGTGAACTGCTCAGAGCACTGGACCAGGCAACCTGAGCGATCCTGCAATATTCCCTGGCCTATACTGTTCAAAACAGCTTCAGTTTTTGAATATATTTTTGCAAGTAGACAATTTCTAATACCAATACACTTTTACAGGATTTTACTTAGATATTGAACCTGTCCACGTTACCAATAGTGGCCTTTTGAAGTTACTCACTTTATTATTCATATTAAAGAAATACATCTACTGTATTTTCTCTATTGCAATTAAAGTGTTGTTTAGAGAGTTTGATTACCCTTCCCCTTATCTCATTACTTGTAATTTATACTCTGAAATTTTCTTCAAATTTCATGCTAATAAAAAGCTGTGGTATAAATGCCTCATCATGTGATACTTTGGCTGCAGTACAGCAAAGATTTATTTTTATTGCCAAAGATGAATGAAACAAATTTGATCTCCAACCACAGGTTTTTGTTGATCTGCCAAATTGAAATCCCTTGAGTCTTTCTGTTTTCCAGCATTTATCGTATTGTGACTTTCATAACTTTTGGAAAAGCATACTAAGGAAAAATCCCAGCCTTCCGCCACTCCCCCTTCCCTTCATTTTTTACACACTTTGTTGAAAGAAATGTGAAGGGTGAACTGCAATGTTTGTGGGTATCTGTGAAAGTTGCACGTTGTAAGCTTTTTTCCTCAGAAGCAGGCCACATTCTCAGCTGCCTTAACCTGGCTTAGCTCTCCAGCCAAGGGAGTCCTACAGATTTACCCCAGTGGAGGATTTAGACCTGTGGTTTCGTTTGTGTTGGGGTTTCTTGTTTTGTTCTTTGTTTTTGTTGTTCCCTTTGTTTTTTACACAAAATAGATGATTTTTTTTTTTTTAACTTCTCTCTGGGTCAGTTGTTAATCATCTCTTGGTACTTTTGCTATATCTAGGACACAACAACTTTAAGAGCTGTTTCTGCTAGAACTAGTAGTATTTGTTATGGTGTTGCTGATATTTCAGGATTCTGACCAGTGGCCAGTTCTAACACCTCTGATTAATGTTACCCTTTTTCATTTTGCATGCTAGCTAGCAATATAATTGCAATGTTGAATCATTAAAACTAAAACTTAAAGTACTATTTCCCAGCATATTAGGCTAACTCAGTTATAAGTAGACAAAAAGAATTAAGGATTGTGTAGTGAGTTGAATAGCTGGCAGGCAGGGCTCTATCATTTTTACTTGCCTTACATTAATCAGTAGCTGAAATATCATTAAAAGGCAGCCAAACATTTTCAGAGCTCCTTTCCAACTATCATTAGTTGTCATGCACATATTTTAAAAAATAAGGCTTTGAATGCTTTCAAAGGCAAAGAGATTTGAAAGTTTAAATTACAACATATTTAAACAGCAAAAATGTTAAAGTAATAAAAGGCAGGTGAACAGTTCTGACTTTAAAATACATACAGACCTAGGTATATGTTGGGATATATCATCTTGTTTCCTCCACTGGTATAAATCATCGTAGCTTCATTGAAGAAAATGGAACAGTGGCAATGTACGAAAGGTAAAAATCTGGCCTAGAAACTTAGAACAAAGACATATTCTTATGAGACTTCTGATTCTGCTGAAGCCTGGTTTATAAAATTGCTTTATATCATGCACTGACACTTGCAGAGAGGGAGCCTTGGATCATCGAGCACTTCCAAGTTCACTGTGTTAAGTGAGTCTTAACCACACATACTTAGAAGATCTTTCGTTATTGGTACATAATGTAAAAAAAAAAAAAAAGTATAGTCCCTATTGTAGGCAATCTTTCAAGAGTTTATTACCAAAAATATATTGTAAGCATCAAAATCTAATGAAAATTGGCAAGCCAGACTTGACAAATTTGCAGTGGCAAGGACTTAAAGGCTTCAAGGATTAAAGACACTTGAATACTGCTCTTCTGTTTCTTATTTGTGTAGTTTCAGCATTAAAAATGTTATACCCTAACAGTTTACTAAAACACTCTGAAAAAATATTCCATGTCTTAATATTAATCATACTTTTTATCATAATTATTTCATAATCTATATTGCTGAATTCTTATTGACAATATTATAACTGTATGGGAACTTTAACTTGATAAGGAAATGTATTTTGACACTGATACCTTATTAAAGTATACTGATCCTAAATTCTTTGTGACTCGTTTGCTATGAATTTGTTATTTGTTGTATCATTGTAAAGCAAAAAGTATTTATTAAATTATTTATAGAAAATAAAGGTTTGCATTGATCTTTGAAGAATGACAGCACAAATAAAAGGTACCCATATTTGAGAGCTGGGAAGTAGCTTGCCAAAGGTCTGTACCACCAACCTTTTTGTAGAGTTTAGCCAGCTTTCCTCCAATGGAGAATTAATGCCCTGCAGACAGCCCCTCTGAAACATGTCCTATGGTTCAGGCTGCTGCTTCCTTTTCAAACGTGTATTTCTGTCTGAGGAGCTGAGGGTGCCTCTTGTAATGCTACCCTTTTTAAAAAAAAAAAAAAAAAAAAAAAAAGTTGACAAAATGACATTTTAGAGGCTGAATTGCCCCAGCTCCCCACATCAGTTTTTCTGGCAGTAAAATAAGCCATCACCATCATATTCTGGCAGTCCTGACAAGCCCATGAGTAATGGGCTTTCCCCCATCCAACCCTGTCCTTCACCCACCCAGTCCTTTATCGCAATGCTGTTGTTAAACATGCCAATCCTTTTCCATATAGAAGTTGCCAGTTTTGCCTATGTAATAACACTGGTCACGCTGTAGGAAGACAGACACATTAAGAAAGTCATTTCCAAACATGCACTTAAATTCAGACTGGACTGTGTGGAAGCTGCTGGTGCTTGACCCTTCTGATAAGTGCCTTTGAAACACACCGTGCTCAGACACCGTTGACCTTCTCAAACAACGGCGAATCTTCTGAATAATCTGCATCAGTGGGCTATCATCGCCTCCTTTTCTAGATGGGATGCTCAGCAGGCCTAGAAAGTAACTCCTTGCTTCTAAATCTGCTATAATTAACAATAATCACGCAACATCCAGCAGTGAGGAGTGAATGGTGGTGTGCCTGTTACCCTCCCTTGTAAAGCATCCCATTGATCTTCAGGACACTTGGACAAAGACTAACTCAGCATGTCAGATCCTTATCCAACTGAGGGTTGAAAAAAAAAGCCAATCTCTTAAGTATTGAGATCAATGTCTAGCTTTCAAAGGTTGTAATCGCTAACTGCTACCATAAAATAGTGCAGCTAGGCACTATTGGGGTATCTCACACTCATTCCGAAGAAAGTCAAGCATTCACCACTCCCATGTTAAAGTGGCTGAAGGAACTAGTAGTACCTTTTGCTCCCCCTCCCCCCCCCGCCATCCCCTTTCTACTACAGCTAAACACATTTCATGTTAGTGAGTTTTCGTGGAGATTTCCCCCCCCCCAATGCATATGAATGTCCTAGCTAGCTAAGTTCTGACATTGCAATTTATGTACCCAAAAGAACGAAATCCTGGCCAGAAACATAATACCTAGATTGCACAATAGCTGAGCTTTGTGCTGCCGAACAGGGGTTTATTAATTACAGCTTTTTAAATACGTTGCGTGTTTTTTTTCCCCAGTAGGCCAGCAGAAGTGCTTAGAATTAAGCGTACGTCATCTTTCACTGCCTAAAAGCACCGTTTCTTGGCATCAGATCTTGCATCTCCAACAGCATAGCCAGAACTGATCACAACTAGGTTGTTCAACACTCACTGTGTTCCCCTGAAATATCAGGCAGTTTTGCCAAACACTCATGAGTAGGGCTGGTCTCAGTCTCCCACTGATTTTCAAGTCTATCATCTTTCTAACGTGATCAAGCCAACGTTTTTCCTAGACCATAGATTTCATGCAGGTTAAGATTCACAATGTTTATTGACCAAATGGCTATAACAAAATACTATAAGAAACTCTCAACATCCTAGTGTGTGTGTGTGTATATATTTTATGATTACCAATAAAACTGCAAAAAAAAAAGCCCAGATAACTCAGAGCAAAGTCCAACTATCTTTTCAGTCGAGACACCATCTCTTAAGCAATACTGAGATCTGTGGACAGTAGGTCCTTCATCACACTTGCAACAGTAGGCAGAGCACAGGAAAGCACTCAGTCTAACACACAACCGCTCTGTTTCTAGATGGTTAAGGTTTCATCTGTTACTTCTCCCTGAGGAGCTTTATAAAGCTATTCACCGATTTTAGGAGCTATAGTGGAGAACTGGAAATATTCACCTTTCTTTTTTCTCCCCAACTCTCCTACTATAGGCTTCCCAATGAAAGGAAGAAACCATTTCCAAGAAAAAAGAAAATCCTTAACAATATTTTCTTAGGACACCAAAATCTGTCACACGTCCCTGTTCTGCTCCCTTGGCGCAAGCCAGCACTCAGCACAACAGCCGCCCTTCGGTTATCTGGGGCTGCGTACGAGCCCTGTGAGCTCACCCTCGCCTGCAGGGAAGGCAGGCGTGGGTTCCCGCTCCCTCGGGCTCTGTTCGTTGTTGTTGCTTTCCTTAGTCAACTGAAGCTACAAAAGCATCATAGGAAGGCTTTAGCAATTGGTATGTACCCCATTTTTGGGTGTTCACATTAAAAATGGCTTCAAATTAAAAAAAAAAAAAAAAAGTGAGAAAAACCTTAGCTACTCAGTTTGGAAGCGTCACTGACATTTCTTTTGTCTGGAAGCCAGCCTGCACTTTTGGCAGCTTGTGATGTGCCTCAAGTCTCACATGGAACATTTTCCTTGAAGTCCTAAATTCCTGTAATCAAGGAGTTACTTAATTCTCTTCAGTCACGCCTCAATTCGTAATGTGGTGGCACGTGGTTAAGATGTCCGCATCTGGGAACAGAAGCACAAGCGTGAACCTGGCTTGCAAAGACTACCTGCAAGCCAGCTGGTACCAGCTACTTCTGCCTTTGACACCGGACAGTAACAGGCAGCTGGAGGCAACAGCAGCGGTGAGCCCCTCGTGCGCTATCTGCTATGGGAATTGCTGCATCTTAACCACTGTGGCTGGAAGGACTGCTGAGGCTTGGGTCGCATCTCAAAATCCCAATTCCCCTTAGCTTCATTAAAAAAAGAAAAATAAGCAACCCCCCAAACTCCCCCTTTGAAAAGTCTGTGTTTAGGTCTTGGAATTACAAAGCTGGCAAGCTAGATTCTCAAAGGCACCGGCACCAGAAAACAAGAGTGAAACCCTTCAGGTATATCTTTTAAAATTACATTTTAAGCTAATGATTTGGGGTCTGACTCTTGGTCTTCGAAGGACTGGCACTGGCTGGGTTTTGCAAGAAAAAGCATTATACCCACAGCTCTAGCGACTGAAGCCCTGTCTCCTCACAGTATTGGCAAAAGCAAAGCGACAGTGAAGTCTCTTGTGGCAGAGGAGAAACCTACCTCAAGCATTACCTCCTCCAGGCATATCTGTCACTCTCCAGCACGTAGTTCCAGAAGGACCAAAGGTCCTAGATAAACCACAGCAACACAGGGCCGGCAGCTTGATGGCTTGTTCATCCATCAAACATGCAAAGTCCTCCAGTCTCTCAACAGCTGAAAGTGCTTCTTGGCTGCAGCAAGCAACCTTTATTGCTTAGCCTTGATTCCTGGCCTTTCCTCTAACCCCGATCCCACTTCTCCTCCTAGCTCCTAGTCCTTACCTGGTTTCATCATTCTGGTTTCTGCCTCCTGCTGCCATCCCCTTCCCCAGCTCATTGACAGGTTGACAAGCCTGCTCCAACCTGCCCATCTCTACATGCCCCTCGTTGCAGGCAGCAGTTTTTACCATGGATTCAGGGACTTCCAGTATAGGCTCTCTCTGGTCATGCCCTTGCTTTGGCCATGTGTTTGATACAACTATCAGCCAGATGCCCAACCCTTTTTGCCCAGACCCTCAGGTTCTGCGGTT